CTCGAAATGTTGAAAAAGTCAATTTAACATTAAGAATTCTTAGCTTTAGACTGCTCTCCAGACCAACATATTGAAACTATATTTCCAAGTTTGCGCCTTCCTCTCTATATTTTGAGGGTCATAAATTTGAATCCATAGTAAAAGGAGGTAGGTTTATTCAGAAAAAGTATATTTTTGTGTCTTTTGAAACTCAAAATTTTGTATGTACTAATTAATTAGCATATTTGAGGTCGCCTCTTCGAACCTTTAAGATTGAGCCTTAGAACGAGAAGATCAGCTTAATAGATCAAAAGTTATTCAGCGTTGACTGTATTTTATTTTGCACACTGTACATTAAGAAAAAGAGTATTGAAATTGTTTTAGGCAATTTGAATAGAAAATTTACAGTAGGAACAAAACGGACCTTATTTGACGTTTGAAGATTCATATAACTTTTTTATTCGTTGCATTAAATTTATAATATCGTTTAAGATTTTTTTGTGCGAACTAGAGTAGATAAAGTTGCTGAATCACTGCATTTTTCATTTACCCTTAAAAATAGTTTTAAGTTTTAAAAAACACATTTCAAACCATGAAACTCAAGCTGTTTAGAATTTTGCTACAGAGTAAAGCATCTGAAGTTATTAAGCAAAAATTGAATAATGCATAATACAAATGAAACTAAAAAAATTCAATTCGATTAAGATCGAGCGTCTAGGATATTTACTGCACAGTAATGTTGCTAAGGCTGATGGATCATTGAATTAAAAAATGCTGCTGCATAATAAAAGAAACTGATGACAAATTTCAAATTGCGTAAAAAAAATTTTTAAATTACGCCCGCCATTGTCTTCTCAGACAAAAGGCGTCTTGCAGTTCAATACAATAGTGAAGTAGCTCTAGAAGGTGAGAGGGCACGAAAGTCGTCTCAGGAACGAACGTCAAGAAGAGAGGGTCAATCATATAGAAGCTCCCCAGTCATAGGCGAAGTGTTAAAGAGCATACAAAGAGGTGAATTGACCAGGTTAATTTTAAATAGATGGGCCTGCAAGTAGCCATGTTCAGTAATTATTCTAAGACAAGCAACTCCCTCGGCCCTGGGAAGGAGGGAAAGATGAGAGTGCTGCTGGCTATCAAGAAGGCTATCCCAGGATTTTCCATCAGCTAAGTCCCTAAGAGCAGATATTGATCTGTGTCTGAATTTAGTCTTAAGAAGCCGCCGTGCATTTCTAAGAGGAACTGGGTGACAAGGTGGATGAAGTGCTGAAGCCTCTCTAGCCAACATGTCAACCCATTCATTTCCGTAGATGCCACAATGGCCAAGGATCCATTGGAGGACTACCTCTCTTCCAGAACAAAGAAGAGAGTCGATTCGTTGTTTACACTCAGATTCAAGTTCAGTTGCGTAAAATTAAGCTGTTAAGATTTATGATGCCAACTATGGTAGCTAAACCTGTTGAGACATTAAACTATAAAAAACTCATACATAATTCAAAATCGACTGTAAGATCGAGTTTTTAGGACTTTTACTTCACAGTAAAGTAGCTATAGCTACTGAGACATTTATCTACAAAATTGTGCTACATTATTCAAGAGCAACTAAAGTAAAGTTTCGAATCCAGTACAATTGAGCTGTTAAGAATTTTTGGCTGCTAAGTAAATAAGTTAAACCGGTTGAGTCATCAAACTACAAAATTTAAAAAATTCAGTTATTCATACGCATTTGAAAAAATTCAGTTGGCGAAGACTCAACAAGGGGAAGAAAAACGATACCAACAAAGATTTCCAGAATGGGTTGTTCAAGAGGACGAAAAGAATAACATCGATGAAAAATTTTTTATGTTTAACAGGAGAGAGAAAGAAGAGCAACAAATTGTTTCCAAGGAAAAGAATCTAAACGAATTACAGACCATCGCCGAAAAAGGCATACAAAAGTTCCATGACAGTACTCACAATTTCCAAAAAGAAAAAGTGGATAAAATTATAAATATTTTTGAATCCAGGGTAAATGATAATATCGTGCCACATCCTTTCTCAAAGTATGCTGAGGAATTGGCGATTTATTTCGAAGAAATCCTTTGTAAAAATTTAGAAACAACTACAGCTCTTAAAAAAGAAGTAGAGAAACTTGGAAACGAGCTGAATAACTTGCAGTTACTAATACGGGATTCCAAACAGGGAAATGAGCAATTAAAATTTAATAAACATCCTTCTATTACGTCGACGGATTTGAATGTACAAAATGAAAGAGTTGTTGATCAAATAGAAATGAAAGATGAATTAAAGAATGCAAAGATAAACGAGGATTCACTTTATGATCTAATTTACGAGAATGATGTTTTAAATGTAAAGTTGAGGAATATTTCAAAAGAAAGAGATACATTAAGAAATCGATTTATATCGAATCAGAGGAAGATTTATCAGAAATCAGATTTTAAAAGTTTTCTCTTAGAGAAAATGTTATTTGCTTTGCAAAGTAAGAATATATTTCCAGAAATTCCAACTCAGCATGCGATACTTCCCAAAAGAAAAGAACGTAAGGACATATCGCCAGTTAAAGACATTCCTAAATCTCCCTTGATGATAAAAATAGAGGGTAAATCATTAAGCTCTCATTAATAATTAAGTAATTAATGAAATTATTACCGACCGGCTTTCTTTCCTTTGAGTATTTTTTTATACCGACGAAAAAAGAGTTTGATATTTTAAAAGAAATTTCCGAAAAACATTGAATTATATTTTGCCTGGGACTTGAAATATTTCCTTCCATCCATAACGAAGAACTTTTCAAAGATGATATATATTTTTACTTCAATAAAAGAAACCAACTGGAATAATCTAATTAAATGTTTTATTGCAAAATAAAAATATGATCCTGTTAAGCTGTTTTTGTACATCTTGAAAAAATGGAATAAAGTCGTGTTTTAATTTATCCAGTTTTAGTTTGTAAAAATACTTAATATACTTAATACTTCAGTGATGGTCAAAAAATATTTATAATTAATATTATAAAGTTCTGCTTTGAAGTTTTCTTAAAATTTTAAAATTTCGTTTCAAAACCAAAAATTATTAATCACATGAATGTACAAAATTTATTTCTACTTAGTATTTGTAATTGTAATTTCAGTTTGTACTTTGTAATCTATACATATATATACGTATAATAAAATAAGCAAGTGTTGCGCCAGACTTTGCGTAACGGAGCGTCAAATCATCAGGTACTAAAACAAACAATGAATTCAAAATACACTGATGTAAGAACCATTCATCAATTGTAATACGCACTAACGATCGTGTCTAACACGTGTGGAGTCGGAAGGTATAAAACAACAGTGGCAGAATAAAAAAATAAAAAAAGGTTAATAGGGAGTATGGTGTCCTCTTACAGATATTCAGGCCTTGTAGTGCGATTTCATACTTGAAATAAGGCAGTTTATCATCTCCTGAGGCGATTGGTCTGAATTCTCCTGTAGCAATTTCATATTTTCAGACACCAACGAGTGTTACTCACGATCATATGTGTGTATTACAATTGTTGAATGGTTATTTGTTTTGTATTGTATCAATATATGTGCATATCTAATTTCATTAAAATCGGTCCTGTAGTTCTAGAGATTAATCGACCCTGTCTGCAAATTCTCTTCATTTTGTTACACCAGTCTATTTAAATAAAAACGCATTCTACAGTTCCAACTTTTTCTCACATCATTTTTTTTTTCAATAAAAGTGAGTTTCTAGGAAGTTATAAAATCAATGATTTTGATACCATAATGTGCAGATTCATTTTAATGTAAATCTAAATAACATTTTTTTTTCTCGATTATCTATGCATTTGATACTGTACGGTGCAATCTGCAACACATTGGGAGCTTAAAAACTACTTATTTGTGATAAAGAAAGTTTATTGTCGCAGTCACTGCTCTTTCAGAGAATTTCCAGGCTTCTCCCTCACATAACGTTAAAGTTATTCATTAATAGAAAATTCTGATATGAAAATATTATTAGTGTATCGATTGGCTTTTGAATTATTTAATGTAAAAACTTAATTTTCCCTTTTGTACCGCATAATAGTTCAGTTTTGCAAAAAAAGTTATAAGTATATTTTTTTTATCTGAAGATATCATGACTCGTTTTCTTCAAGGCTTGAAATGGTATATCTCATTAAATTCTAAAATTCGTTTTTCTAATTGCTATTTAGTCTATTTTTACAGAAAAAAAAATGTGTACTTTAATTAGGAGGCTCGATGTTAATGTGTATGTAAATAAATATAGAGAAACTTAAAAATTCGCTCTACAACTCTTTTTTTTCTTTTCGAAGATTCTTTTAAAGTGAACATCTATGTTTAACCAAATGCTAATTACTTCTTTTGAGAAAAAGAGTAAGACCATCGGCTTAAAATTTAAAATTCAAACTGCGTTAAAATTTTTAGTAATTTTAAGATTTTCAAATTTTGAAAATTTGCATCCAATAAACTAACAATCAACTAACATTTCAAAAAATTTTAAAATATTGTCTAATATTTTGAGCCTTTTCTCTCTCTCTCTCACTCAGAATCTCAGAATTATAAGGTATTTAAATTGTGGTTTTTTCCAACTATAACAAAATATTTGATGATCAAGGGAGAAGAACGGTTTATTTTCCTTTTTTCAAGAAAAATGGCGATTAGATCGCAATCTGTTGAATATAGGAAATTACAAAATTTTGTTCAATCAATCAATTGTTCAATCAATTGTTTTGTTCAATCAAAATCAATAACGATTAAACGCAATTATATACGCAGAAAGAGTCATTGCGCAGAAATTATGGGCCGGTCTGGGGAAAAAAAGGATTTATGTATCCACAAAATCCGTTTCTTTCTTTGTTTTTTTTTTGTCTTCCTCAGCACTCCTGAATCAACTTTCATAGATATAAACCATTCTTCCAAATTGATTTTTATTTCAGCGTTGCTATCAATTGAGCTACTTAGTTGCTAAAAATTTTATGATTTGATTGATACATAAGAAAACAGAAACAATAAGCGTCGAAAATTGTCATTTTTATTTAATTAAAAACCAAAAAAGGCCTAAATCGAAATTTACATCATTTGAATATGAAATGAAATTCATCTGCCTCGAAAAATGACGAAAACGATGGCTTCGACGAGATTTCCTTCAAATAAATGTTACTGAGACTGCCTAAATCATCCCCAACAGTCACTTGTCACCTCTAATTACTCCTTGTTTTTCTTCACGCAGGAACAGAATAATTTACGGAAAAACCGTCCGACACGTTTCTTTTTTGTCTTTTTCTGTTTCCCTGCTACATCAATCTCATTTTTGGCAGTCTCATAGCTATCACACCTAAGAAAAAAAAATCAATGTGTTTTAAATTAAGGTTTCTGTATGGAAGATTATATTTAATTAATTTTTAAATTCACTTATTTATGCTTATTTTTCCAAGCAAGAAAAAGAATTATAAGATAGTGTTAAACACCTTTTTATTTAAGCCGAAATGTCTAAAATTGCTAAACTTCTTTTTAAAGATAATATTCAATATTCAATATTCTATATTTTGCTTTAATTTTAAAAGTTGAAAGTCGGCTGAAAATAATCCATACTTACGATTTAGCACATAATGTAAACTTCAATTTTGTACGTATTGATTTGTATAGATTGTACCATTGTATGGATATGTTTGGTCAAACTGCTTTAAATTTTTATAGTAACTAGTAGTATTTTCATAGTAACGTAGTAGTATGAACTATGGTTTTATAATAAGTTACAAAATTTGGTAAATGATGGAAAATTTGGTTATTTTATCATGATACTTTGCGCATGGCATTAAAAATTCAGTAATCCATTTATTTCAGTTATTAAATTTAACTGAATAAATCCATTTATTCAGTTAAATTTCATTTTCAGTTTCGTATTTTTTATTAAATGTGTAGTAATAAGAGCTATTATTTATAAAACCAGAATTTCAAGCGAATCAACATTTTGCGCTCAGTGATAAAATTCACCTTTCCAAAAATAATTCAATTCAAAAAAACTCTTTTGAATAGATATTAATTATTTTGCATTATTAATTTTATAATACTCGAAATGAATGTCAATTGAATGTCAAAGAAATTTTTACACAATTTCAAACATTGTTGTTTTAAATGACAAAAAGTTTAAACGAAATTGGTTCAAATTATCATATTTCAAGTAGACGTAAACTCGAAGTTTGATTTTTTGAGAACTATAAAACAAAATTTTTACCAATTTACTACAAAAAACTGAAATAACAAAAATAAACTATAAGTCAAACAAAAATTTAATACCTTTCTATGCCCTCATTTCCATAATCCAGTTCATGGGCGAAATTTTCTGCCGCAATTTCTGGTTTCACATGGGATGCAACGTCTACATCCAGTATATCAACACTAAAACTACAAAAATCTATTGTTAAAACTTTATTTGCAAAATTCAATCATTTCAGAAAAAAAATTAAATTTATTCGTGTAATTTAAAAGCTATTCTATATTGTAATTTATTTCTTCTAATTTAGTATCGCATTTCTGAAAACAAAGTTTTATGAACGTTCAGTATTAAAGATAAAAGATTTTGCATCCAAAATGACAGTCAGTAAGAAGTGTACTTTCGTAAATTTGGCATGTTTAAGCAATGATTGAAGAAGAAGTTAAAAACTTATTTCACTTCCAAGTTGGAATATGAAACTATTTAAATCCATTTTTTATATGTTGAAAGCTTTTTCCCCCGCATCAAATTTTAAAATTTATTTCGTATTTTCCCTGTAAAAATAATTTAAAATTCGTAATTTAATTACAATTATAATTTATTTACCTTGTTTAAACTAACATACATGCACAACTACATGTTTATGAGAAATATATACTAGAAATTTCGATTCAAAGACCGAAATATTTTTCTGATGTAACATGTAATGGGGCAACCTACTATATATATATATATNAAATTATAATTTCATTTATATAATTTTGATGCTCTACACGTAGCTAACATATTTTAAGAAAAATAATAATAAGTTTTTATGTAATAACAATACTCGGACTGTTGTATTGGTATATTTTGCTTTGGCTTTTTTAATGCAATATTAGAAAGCACAATTTTTTTCGGATTTAATCGTTAGAGCTAAGAACAAGATTATATCTGTTTCTTATTTCAATTTCCTACTTTTTTTTAAATTTTAAAAGATTTTAAAATTTCAATTTTGTTTAAATTTTAAATTTGTGAATATTTCTTAAAAACATTTTTTCTGGCTTTTAAAAAATCTTTATATATTTTTTTCATGTTTTCCCGATATTTTTAACTCCCTCTCTCTCCGTGCATATATATATATACATATTTATACTTAGATTTAATTCAGTTAAAAATTAAAATACCTTTCACAATCCACCTTTGCAAAATCCCAATTATGGGTGAAAGTTTTTTCAAATATTTCTAGCTGAACTAATGCTTCAGCTTCCTTTTGTAAAGGGCATATTCCAACTCTGAAAATGTAAAAAGTTGTTATGAACTTTCTTTGCAGTTTTTTCCTAGATAATTGTTGATGGATAAAAAAAAAAAAAAACTCTGTTATTCATGTTATTTAAAATGGAACATAAGATTTTAACCCCAACGGTTGAGAATCAATTTATCTGAATATCACGAGCATTAAATTAAATATTTTACTTCTGAAACAAAATATTTTGCCTTCAAAAGGCAAGTCAGTAAAGTACATTTATTTTACTTGTTTAAATGTTCCGCACCGAAAGTTTGAAGTTCTTTTTTCTAACTTAAATTTAAACATGAAAGCTACCAGAGCCACTGTTTAAAGGTCGTTCTACATCAGTTGTAAAAATCAACTTCGTGTTCTTATGCAGAAACAATTAAAGTTTCGTAGTTAGCTTCATGAAAATCTTTTCTAAATTAACATAAAGTTTCTGAATTATCCTCGTAACAGAATATAATTGAGATTCCAAAATTATTGTCATAGATTACATAGATTTATAACGTAAATTTACCTTACATATAATATCTCTGAAAATGTTTTTAGCTTCTAAATAATAAACCTGTTTAGCAGATCTCTCTCTTTTTTACAATGTTGATGATGTTGACCATAAAGTTGTATCAAAGGAGTTTCCTTAATTCTTTGTCATTTGTTGCCAGTGTTAAAAATATTTTTTCACATAATCTTTTAAAATATTTCGTATGAAAATTTAACATAAAGTGAACTTGCAAGAAAAGTACACTCCTAAAATGTTTTTCTCAGACATTTCTTTCCAGAAACGAAATACTGTAACTCTCTTTTTTTATATTTCCATTAAATAATTTATGTTAGAAAAGTTATGAAATAATTAATAAAAATATAAGTTTCCATTAATTTGGGACCACTGCCAGGAAAAGATGTAATATACAAGGTCCGGCTATTAATTTCTAGGACTGACGTAACTGTAGGAGAACGAAAAGCCGGAAGATTGCGCTAATGATTGCAAATTGAAGAGTGTTTTCTTGCGCATGTGCAGTGCAATCGGCACCATACTGAAGTAAGTGGTTCTCGTAGAAAGGCGCATTAAAAGGTAGCTCTTAAATTCCTATTGTCGAATTGAAAATGGAGCAAGAATAAACATTAAATGTGGCTTCAAATTGGGCAAGACAGCTGCGGAAACCTACAAATGATTAAAACGAGTTTACGGCGAGGAAGCATTATGTCGCTCCAGAACTTTTGAATGGTTTAAACGCTTTCGGGACAGCGCGAAAGCGTGGAAGATGATCCACACACAGGTTGGGCGCAGTCGTTACGCACGCCGGAAGAAATTGAAAAGTTCGCTTCCACACATTGCGTTGCCTGTGAGGCGATTCTTAGCCCAGCATGGTGTCGTTGAAATGCAGCATCCACCATACTCCCCACCTAGCACCCACAGACTGTTTCCTAAGCTGAAAAATTCTCTGAAGGGGACAAGATTTCAAGATGTCGAAGCCATCAAGAAGACTAACGTCACTATTAAAGAGCATTCCAATAGAGGACTTTAAAACCTCTATCCGAAATTTGTACAGCCGAGCACAGACGTGCATTAGGGCTGATGGGGGTTACTTCGAATAATATTAAATGGCTATGTGTTTAATTTTATTTTCTTCTGAGTTATTCCATGAGTCCTGGAAATTAATAGCCGGACCTTGTATATTTAAAGGTATGGGCATATTAAAATGTATTTAACACAGTACATGTGTTTCATTAAAAAGTGTTTCGATAAGAAATATAAGTAGTTTTTCAGATTGTGTTACATTCGTTTGATAATTTAATTTCTTTTTATTATTTAGATGTTTCAGTCTTTATTATTTCTGCTTCTAAAATTAGTTGAATAATAATATTCATTAATCAATCAAACAGAATTTGAAATTATGTTAAAAGTATTTAAAAGTTGAATTTTTATGTTTTGAAATATCATTTTTGGTAAAAAAGATAGACATGACATTATTTATAAGGATTTGCTTAAAAAATCGAAATTTATAATGACCTTATAGTTCTTAAAAATAATTATTTGATGGATATTTGGCTAGAATGTGAAAAATGTTATGTTATGCTAAATGTTTAATCAGAAGAAGAAAAAACCAAATCGAAGTTAAATTTTTTAATAACTTACGGTGCGTACTTTATTCATTTTTTTTTTTGTAATCATAAATCTTGAAATGTTTGAATTTTTTCTCTCCATTTTCTTCGTTTTACAAATTAAAGCAATTTAAGAAAATTTTGTATCATATACATCTTTATTGATGCTCAAAAGAAACGAAAATGTCAGCAGCGTCAACTAAGAATTTTTTTATTCGGTTGATTTCATCCTTAATTTAAAAAAAAAAATTGTTATGGCTTAAGTGTCAGATATTTTTTGCTTTAAAGGTTTAATAAATACCTTTCTACTGTAGCATCATCATCGCAAATTTGCGCAGAATTCCATTTTTCTGCATAGTATGATGCTTCAGAATCTACATTCCAATAAATATGCCTAAAATAATAAAAAAATATTTTTAATTTTCTTATTTTTCGAGGTAATTAAAAAAAAATTTTAAAAACATGCTTTAAAAATTTATTTCCCTTTTGTCATTAAATTAAGATATTTTTTTTATAATCAAATAATGATTTTATTATAAAAAGAACATAGGATTTAAGTAAAAAAAGTTTTTTATATCAAATTTGAAAAATTATGGCATGTTTAATCTATATAACAAGTCATGTACTGCAATTTTTAAAATAAAATTGTGTTGAAATGTGGAATTTTTTCCCCCGATTAATTTATTTTCATTTTTTAATTATTCTAGAATTACTTTATAAACTTAATGCATAGATTTGATAATAAATTGTTACTTTATGCGCTTATCTGAACAACATTTTCTGTTTTGCTAAAAAGTTGTGACATAAATTTTTTTTAAAAAAGTATCTTTTTTCTTCCATGCAACTATCACTTATTTTTTGAATTAAATAATTTAAATGTATTTAATACCAAAATTAAATGTTATCCTTAGTACAACTTATGATACAGAAAAATATGTATTTTTTTATTTGAATAATAAGTGGAAACTACTATTTATAAACAAAAATACTAACTATAATTAGAATACCATCAGTGTCTTCTTCAAAAATTATTGTTTTGTAGTTATAACAATTTTAATGTAACAAATAAACTACAGATTATTTGTTACATGCATTAAAATCATTTTTTTATAGAAAACTTTTATTTAAAATTCGCACAAATACCTCTCATTATCAACAACTTCACTCGCCAAATTAGGAGGGACACTTTTCTCCTCGTAGGCATTTTCGAACGAATCGAACATTGTATCATCCCAAGTAGTCTCATCAACTCTAAAATAAAATAATAGAGTGTGTATTTTGTTTCATTTGGTTAATTTTAACATTGAAGTTCTTACATAAATTTCTGTTTTATTTATGTTTTTTAAATAAGAATATTAGATAGATAGATAGATCAATATACCTATGATTTCTAACTACATTCTCAGGGACTCTTTTCGGAAACCATTCACAAATAGTATTCCAAAGTGAAAATGTGGGATCAGGTAAAATATTTGGCTCTTCACTATCTTTAATCCCACTGTTTGATTCATCAAGATCAACACTAAAATGAAAAAAATGGTGTTATTATCGTTACAGCTTTCTTTACTCATTCTTCATACATGGTTACACTTAAAGATTTATATGTAAATTTTTTGTTGGAAAAGTTATAAAGAATTCCCATAGGAGAGGAAAAATGTATTAAAAAATGTTTTTAAAATTGAAAAAATATTCGGAAATTAAAATTAATAAAATATATAATCTCGTCATCAGCGCACACGATTATATCTCAATTACATCCCGAAAAATTCCGGTGCTTTCCAATACCGTATTAATATATTTAAAGCAATTTGAAAAGTATTTATTTAAAACTTAAGATACATATGCATCGTTTTCTTTTCGAAAAGTGAGAAGCGTGTTTTACCTTCTTTCTAAACTCAAATTTGTGTTTTGAAAAAAGAAATTCTGATATCATTTATAGACATTAGTTTTTTTTATAAAGTGCATCNATACATTATTATATGCAATTTGTGTTTTGCAAAACTGTTTATTATTTTCTGAATATTCTAAATTACCTAATGATTTGGTATATAGATTTGTTAAAAATGTTTTGAAATTTTATTCCAGTTGTTCCATTGTAGATTTTAAATGCCTACCTTACATCTAGAATTCAAGGTCAATATTCAATCCTTTAAGGATTCAAAGATATACATAAACATTTAAAATCTTGAAATTTTTTTATTGTGATATGAAGATGAATTTGCTTTTTTAACTGCTGAATTGTTGGCATGAAAAAAGAAATTCTGATATCATTTATAGACATTAGTTTTTTTTATAAAGTGCATCAAACATAAAATATAGTGAAAAAATAAATTTAGAATTGAAATAAATTCTTTGTTTAATACTACAAAGTATGTAAGTATTTGCAACATTACGTCAATCCAGAGAAAGTCATAATTTATTGTAATTATTATTGTATGGAAAAAAGCAGTAATAGCAATCGAGCTGCAAAAACGAAACACTATCTGTGAGAATAGATATTTTTTTAAAAAAACAGTTATGCAGATGTTAAATGAAGAGAAAGATTCTGCCGAGTTATGGTTGCTTCTAGTATATGGCCTGGTCTATTACAAAATACTTCAATAATGTACCTGAATTGTAAATAAATATTTTCTTCAATTAAATTTGCTTGATAAACCGCTAAAACCGCTTGATAAGCCGAAAAGAAAGTTATCTGTTTTGACCACAACAAATAGTATTTATAATACTTGTTTTGGTTTAAAATAAATCTTAAGCAGATAGCTTAGTACTTTTGAGCCACAACATGTTTGTTTTCCTTTTTTGGTTCAGAATGTGTTTCTTCCGAATCTTTTCCCACAGATTCCTTCTTAGCACTTTCCACACTAAAATTGTAATAAAATATTGCTTTTATTATTTAAGCAGATAGCTATACATACATTTAAAAGAAAAGATTTTATTCTAATAAATTAATTAATAAAAATATTTTAAAACATTTCGTGAAAAATCTAATTTCATGAAAGCTTTGAATTGAAGACTGCTCTTAAGAAATATATTATATCCAAGATGCTAGTTACAAGTTAAAAATTGTAATTTTTTCTTAAAATTAAAAATGAATTTGAAAATGAAAATACGTAAATTAAACTAAGAAATTGAAAATATTATTCTTTTCACTAATTAATTATAAAATCAAATTTGGTTCATAGTTTAATTAAACTAAATATTTTTTTACCTATTTATTTACCCTTATTTACATACATTTTGCAACTCTAAAATCACATTCTTTTTAATTGCAATATATATACGAAAAAGACACAATTAAAAAAAAAGATTTTTTAAACTAATTTCAATAATGTAACTTAGCGTAATTTGTAGCAAATGAGAAAATAATCTTTTTAATTAATTATTATTACTTTCGTGATAATCTGCGCAAAAAAAGTTTAAGTTTTTAATTTTGAATCTTTTTTCTTTATTTCAGTTAATGTTATTCCTTATTTTGTCGAATATTGTATTTTCAGTAAGTTAATAAGTTTCTAAATTGATATACGAACTTATCATACATGCATAATTAAAAAATTATTTAATACGTCGTATATTTTCAAACAAGTTTTAAAAATTAGGAACTTCAAGTTTTCTACAAATAATAAATGTGTAATTTCATAGGATCAAACATTAATTTAATTAAACAAAAAAAAAAACTGAAAAACAACAATTTTCTATATTTAAAACAGTAAGTAAGCATATGCTTTTAATTCTTAGGTTATAGAGACTGAAATGAAGCACGCGAGGAAAAAAATTCTGGTCAAAATCTCCAAATTGTATATGGCTGTTTAATTTCTGGTAAAAAAGCCTCCATAGTTCTTGCTAATAAAACCGAAATATACAGTATTTAAAGACTTCATTTGAAATTTTTCATATTATAACGGTTTACCGAAAATTCTAGTTTTTAAAACTATCATTTTATTGAGAAACATTTAATAAAAAATACAAAAAGGAAAAGTAAATTTAACCAAATATATACTTATACCGTTTTCTAAGGTATCATAGTACAATTGCCAAATTTTACGACACTTACCGAATTTTATCATACATTATAAAACTGTATTTTATTGTTAATTTGGTAAAACCATTACCAAATCGCTTCGATAAAAATTGCTGGGATTTTTAATGTTCTCATTGAGCCAGAAACACGGTAAATTTTACCATATTCTTTGTTGTTTTTACCATAATTGCTCTTCTCGGTGAATATAATTAAAAAATTATCCTTTATTTATGATTTGCGTATTTTTTTTATCTGCAGAAACATTGAAATGTTACACGTTTGAATCTTAATTTGCTCAGCTGCAAAAACATTATTAATTATCTTAAGTTTTTGCATTCGACTGCATTTGAACTATTTCACTCTCTTCATAAAACGTTAAACTGTAAAAATTATTCCTGTTCATTTCTTTAAATTTAGTTCTTGGAAGCAAAAATTATGGAAAAGTGATAGTGGAAGATTATATTTAGAAAACCGAGTTTTAAAGAAGAAACGGGGATATATTTTTATTCAACTTTATATTTTACGTGAGAATCAGGAAGAATAGTGTCAGGATTTTAAATTTTTTTCCTTTTTTCAGTACATACAGAATAGTTGGTATGAAAAATGGCTAATTAAAATTTAGTACAAAAGTTATTTTTAAAGTTTTGTTCCTACCTTTCTAATTCTACACCATTGTCACTAGAAACACATTCTTCAGTATACATCAACTGTTTAGAACCATCGTCCCACATAAATTCTCTGGAACAATAATAAAGTTTTTTTAATGCTTACTGTTGCCTAGGTTTGAAGTATTTATCAACGTTTATTTTTTCTAATTTTCTTTCATTTATGTAATTAAATTGAAAGTTTATTTAATGAGCAAAGGGATTTTTTTAGTTTTGATTAAAAATCACTTGTTTTTACTACAAGTAAAAATTATTTTCATAAATTCTGTAATTCTATAACTCCAAAATAAGAAAACATTTTTTTTAATTATTTTAAAATTTAGTTTATGCTTTAATGTGAAAAAAATTAATTTATATACATTGAATCTTTTCCAACTATAAATTCCTTATTTTTATTTTTATAAAAATAGGCAAAGGAATAGATTTGCTACTAGTGTGTTATTTTACTCCCGTGTCAAAACAACGTATACTGTAAAATAGAATAGATAAATGCTGAAAATTTTAAAATTCTTGAACAGTCAAGTAGCTGAAAAGTACAAAATAATTTCTCTTCTTTTCATTGCAAGTACCAATATTTTTTTTATGAATTATTTCAACTAGTAGCTTTAAATTATAATTTTGTGCTCAAATTGAAACATAAAATATATAAATCAAATCATTTTGTCTGTAATGGGCTCAAACCGTGTGAGGATAGATTGATGTTTTTGGAAGAGATAAGCACATCTGAATTTTTTAAACACCACAATCTGTATTTTTAAAACCATCTATGATACTGATACAACTTTATTTTTAATTAAAAAAATGTTTCATTATTAAAAGTTTTATAGATACCTGTTGTTTTCAACAACTTCATCTCCCAATATTGGATGGAAACTTTCTTCCTCACATTTGTACTCATTAAACTCGAGCATCGAATCATCCAACACTTTCTTATCACGTCTGTAATAATACATATAGTGTGCCGTTAATTAAATTCTAGGTTTTATACGGGACGTTATAACAGGAATATAGTTTTTTAAAGAATTAATAAAGTGCAAATGTGACATTTTTGTAAAATTTGCCATTTTGATGCCTCATAATTCAAAGTAATTTTATTTACTGATATAAAATTACGAATAATATTCTTAAGTATTCCAATTAATTAACTACATATTTTTAGTAAAAGTAAATATACGTATCGAAATAAGTATTTTGAAGAAAAAAAAATTTCCTAATTCCTTTAATTTCTCAGCTACATTACTAAGTCCAAACCTACTATCTTTCCCATTTTACTTTAATTAAATCAACTTCTAAGTGAAAAGAACTTTCATCAATCTAGTTGAAAAAATAGTGTTATACGTAATATACAATAAAGCTTATTAAGCATGCAGGCGAGATTTAGTGCTGCAGGTGATGATTTTGTGTAATAGGTGATTTTTTTCGTGATACAGATCGATAGCGCAATGCCGCAGAGGGCTTGCATTGTGGATGATTATCTTCAGGATTAAGCAATTCAGCACATGGTCTTCAGAGTGGTCTTCTCGATCACCGGATTTGAGTCCCATCGAGCACGCATGAATGCTTTAGAAAACGTGTAACTGCTCTTAATCCTTCTCCTACCACGCTTGCAACTTTGCAAGAACAATGGCTCCACTTCCAACAAAACTAGTAACATTTCATACGTATGCTAATTTCTGCAAAACCATAACTGTCTGGTGAATACATTTTATGTTGCATTATACATTATTATATGCACTATTTTGGGGACAATTTTTTTTTAATTATATGGGTTAGACTTTAAGTAAAGGTCATTTTCACTATTTTTCCTTAATATGATGAGTTTATAAGGATAGATTTACATATAAGGACAGAGTTTTTTACAATGACATTTTAAGTAACTGATTTGATTTAAATAAAACTACGATACCTCCAACCAATTATATTCCAGATTGAAAAACCAGGTCCAAATAGAAACTCTGGTTCAACATATCCACTTATTTCATCATCCTGAAGACCTAAGTCTTCCCTAAAATTATAGTAAGGCATTTCAAATTTTTTACACTTTATATATATATATTAGGAAAGAGAAAATTCAACATTCATTATAGTTTTGGCACATTATATATTTCTTTCTTTAATATATCAAGAAATTCAGATTTTATATATCTGAAAACAACAGAAAAGCGGTACTTCATCCAGTTCAGACCTTTGATCAACATTTCAGTGTTAATATCTTCACAGGAAATGGTCGGTGATTTGATTAGTAATCATTCTCTTTAGTAATATGAAATCGCAATAATTTTAGCTTAAGAGGTAAAAAAAATTTTTTTTGAATTTCTTCATGAGATCCAGAGATTCAGTAGCAACTTGATTACCCTAGATAGCTCGAAAGTGGTTTCAATGTTCCACTTCCGAAATTGACGTAAACGTAGCGATCGTATATCACGTTTATGAGTATAAAACGTGTAGAATGTTGATATTTCAAATAGTTTTTAATACTATAACTGAATGAAGCAGAAACGAGATGGTAAATGAATGAAATGAATAAATGAAAGATAATAATTGAATGAATGAAGCAGAAATTATGGTTCTGAATAAATAAAATTCTATGCAATATCTAAAACCAACAGATTTATTTTACCATCATAATCAAATAACTCAATTTGCGAGTAGTATGAAATAAAAAGATTTTAATGCTAACTGCCTATATTAACCAATCGTAATATTATTGCTCTGCAATTTCTTAACTCATATAGTTTCTCTACAATACAGCAATATATCTTTATTTTCTATCTATGCATTAAAGAAAAGTTTTATTTATGACGAAATTCTAACACAGCTAATATCTATAAAAGTACTTACTCAATATTATCCAATTCCTCATCAGCTGCATTATTAGTTTCCTCTGAAGCTAAAAATAAATTAGAAATGTACTTTTAATCTAAATTTTTCTTATTCGAAAATATATTTAATAATACATGTGAAAAAATGGCCAAGAAATGTTTAAAACTCTACATTTCGGAAACTAACAGTATGGAAGTTGGCATGTAATCAGTATTACATATCGGCTAGGCAAGTTGGGACCTAATGTTCGAACCTGTTAAATTTCAAACCACTGTCGAGAACAGAACTTTTGTCCAACACAATAACTTAGAAACATTGCTATCGTGCTGTTGTTTAGACAAGAAAGATATCTTTAGGATTGAATTTAAACAACAAAGTTTTTATGCATGACTTTATTATATTTAATATTTGAAAATTGTGTGAAATATATGTTAGATTAAGCTTGCTTTTGAGCAAAAATAATCTTTGACTACATCAGTCACAAAAGAATTTACAGTTTTGAAGTTACTGCTGCTGATTGACTCTCTAAATCCTGCTGTCGGTATCATGTTCTAATCATATTTGAAAAAAATTTATTTAAAGTTACAAGAGTTTAAAAAGTGCGTGGTTTACACTTACCTGTTATTTGAGGAAACTTCTGCAACTTTTGGAGCCAGTAATTTAATACCGCTCGGTTATATAGAAAACTCATAATTAAATATGAAAATCGCAGTGAATTCAAGCACATTCACCAAGTAAAGTTCAAAAGAGAATGATTAAAAAATTATTTTATTCCTCATTGTTGCTATTCTTAACAATTCATGTATTGCTAGCAACAATGATTTAAAATATTTAAAGCTATGTCTCTTTTTTATTTTTTCAAAGTTTGCCATTATTTCCAAGAATGGAAGTATTGTTGCAAATCTTAAAAAATTATATTTTTGTATTTGGTATTAATCTCAAAAATAAGATAATTTTGCATTGTTGGTTAACCGAAGTTCTCCACTTTCGACAGAAAGAGCTTTTTACTTAACTATTTAAAAAAATTTGCTATGAGTTTTCAAGCAACTAACAGTATTGAATAGTTTTTGTTTCATTTTATGCCTTGAAATGTGTTCAATTAAAATTAGTTACACAATTACGAAATTTAAGTTTGTAAGTTTGTTTTTTTACAAGAAATTTGAAAAAAATTTCATAAATACCTATATCAATAAAAATTTTAACTTTTGAAAATCAGCTCTATTTACTTCAGTGTAAAATGAAGCAAATTCACTTATTATTGATTTATTAGTTACGTAATAATTAAGAAATATGAGCACATATACTTCTCTGCAGATTAACACGAGGAAAGTAGAGCTTTGTTTTGTGTAAAGGAGAGCTTAGAAATGGTGCCTTTTTTTGCTATTAAAAAATTATTAAATATTGAAACTGTACTTTTTCCACACTGACACTCATAGCAATTCAATTGTAATTGATGGAAACAAGTTTGACAGACACTAATTTTTTAATTAAATTATTTTCGCACAGCGGTGCTTTCACGGACTTGTTAAGAACTATAATTGACCCTGATTGTTTTTACTAACATATTACGGACAGTGATAGTTTCGGACCATATAAGGTTAAAGATGTTGTAATAAATAGATATTTTAAACAAAACAGCTTAATTGAGACACTTTTTGATTTAAAGTAAATAAATATATGACTTTAAATGTAAAATAATAGCGAAAGGAAACAAAAACATTTTCCCCAATAATTGCAGAGTGGGGTTCAGTTGAACTCAGCGTACAAACAAATATCTAAGCGCTTTTTTAAGTTATAATGTTACTTGCAAATAGCATATTTAAAATGTACTGTTGGAGTTGGGTTTTTAATGTATGTACTGTGTACAAAATAAAAAAAGACAGACTACCCTTAGTAACTTTTGATCTAATGATCTACACGTTCTAGGACTCAATCTGAATGGTTCAGGGGGGGGATTTGAGATTGANGTTCGGGGGGGGGGGGGGGCTTCAAATGTGCTAATTAATTTGTGTCTTAGAGGAGTGATTTTCATAGAAATAACAAGTCCCTAGTTGCAAAGAACGTTATTCGGGGACGATATTCTCGCTAGTAAACCCTATTCCCAATCTCTGACTATGCTGGAGGTGGATTGCTGAGCTGTGATTTGAACTATAAAAATTCAATTAAAACTGGTCACATACGGATGAGAAGAAAAATTCATAAAAAGAAGACCTTTTACATTTTACAAATAGCATTTTTATTCTTTTATATTCGTTTTTCGACATTTATTTGCAACTCATATGTAAGCACGAAAGGTTACAGAATGAATTTAATTAGTTTTTAACTTGTAAAATAGCTTAAAATTTTTATATGTTTATTTAAATTGAAAGATTATAATTTAGGTATTTTCATTACAATTACATTTCATATTAATATAAAATTTCGGATATTTTTAATGCCTTTTCGATAATGCGTCGGATTTGGCGCATTATTTTCAAGCCTATATTTTGTAAACAAATCGCTTTTTATTTTCATTCTGTATTTTATATTGATGTTTGAAAATTGTTTTTTTAATAATTACAAGCGAATTATTAAAAAATTTTAATTTGTACTTTATATATTATATATTTTAATTTGTATATAATATAATTATTTTATACAAATAATTATATACAAATATTATAATAATATTATATACAAATATTATATACAAATATATATTATAATTTGTATATAATTATATATAATAATTATATATATAATTATATATAATTATATATGTTAATTTGTACTTCAATATAGTAAATAATTTTTGGATAAAAATAAAATTACCTTTTAATTAATTTCTTCATTAAATAAAACAAGCATAAGAATATTTATTTTTTTATTACTTAGAAAATTATTTTGTTATATAGGAACAATTGTTTGAATATTCAAGAAAATATTAGCTGACTAAGACTAAATTTACACGACTGTATTTTCTTAAAAAATTTTTTGTCAAAGGTGTGGCTATTTATTATTATTATTATATATATTTTATTTTCATTTTGGAACATGAAAATAAATATAAATAATCTTTTAATTTCAAATAAATATTAAATTAAAAGAATTAATTTCATAATATAATATAATATTATAAAAAGAAATATTTGGAACATAAAAGAAAATAAAGAAATAAAAAGAAATATTCACAAACGCACATATTAATAAATTTCCGAATGAAAAATCTTTTCTCGCATAGACGACGTAAAGCTGAAGCAAACTGAGTTAAAGGCGGTTAAACGGTTAAAAAGTAAACAACGGTTAAAAGTGAATAGTTTATATCAAACAATTATGATTTACTTACAGGAATTGGGATTTAAATAAAAATGTATAATATAATTATAAATTATAAAAGATTATGATTTAATTTTACTTATGCAGTTTCAATAATAATAGTTTTATTAATTATTCTTGTTATTCTTTGAGAAAAATAAAAGTCGTGCTGTACTTTTTAAGTACAATAAAAAAAAGCATGCTTAAAGAACAGAAGGAATCGTTCATGATAGTTATGAAATATGTAACATTGAAAGAATGCGTAGGAGACGTGTCATCATACACAATGTTCTTTAAAAAGATCAAGATGAAGAAGATCAAGGGCGTAGGAGTTGAAAGGAGAAGTAAGGAGTAAGCGAAGCTAAGTGATTGTTTAGAATATGAAGTGGTTTTTATATGGCAGTCATTATCATAAACTGTAAAAAAAATCCGGTTCAAATTACGGTATTAAGTGCTGACAAATTAGTTGCATATTCCGGAAAATTTTAACCGTACCATTTACCATTTTTACCGTAAAATATTATACCCTAATTTTTACAGTAATATTTATTTAATTGGAGTGATTCTGTTGTTTTGAGGTAATTATAACTGTACTTATTACGAAATGGATTCCATGCTGCCTCTGAAAGCCGTTATTTTTAACCGAAATTTGATCGAGATTTTTTTACAGTGTACAATCTATAATTCCGGCATGTATGGCAATGAATTATACTAAACAAAACAGATTAAATCCTCTTATCAAAAAGGAAAAAAATATTAAATTTCTCTTTTTGCTAGGAAATCAAATTTCCTGCTTTTTGGAGTCTTCTTCTGTTTAATAACAATCAAAAATAATAATTTAAAAACGTTAGATGGGAATAAATTTATCGTTAAAAAGATGATAAAAGTTCGGAATCAAGTAATGAATTCACTTTAACTCAAACGATTCAATGGAAAAGTAAAGAATGGAACAGGGCTTTTTTTCTTGTTAACTGTTCGATTTTTAATGTGACTAAGCCTTTTGTACTTTTCTCCGAAACCTCCAAAAAAGAATTGGTAATTGAAAGACGTTTTTAAATTAAATGAATGAATGGTTTTAGCTGAAAAAGCAGAAAAGAAAGATAAGTTTCGGCAAAAAAGTTCTCTGTTTTTTTACAACCACGATTATCCTTTAATTATGGTTAAAGCAATAGTCGGTAGTCATCATATTTCCTCAGGAATATTTTTAATTGGCATACTTCTTTAAGTACAAAAAGATATTTAAGAAAATATAAATGTTTTGCACAGATTTTTGCTATAAATTNAATTATAACTGTACTTATTACGATATACCAGAGGTTTTGCTCCTTAACATGTTTCGGTAAAAATGGATTCCATGCTGCCTCGAAATGCCGTTATTTTTAACCGAAATTTGATCGAGATTTTTTTACAGTGTACAATCAATAATTCCGGCATGTATGGCAATGAATTATACTAAACAAAACAGATTAAATGCTCTTATCAAAAAGGAAAAAATACTAAATTTCTCTTTATGCTAGGAAATCAAATTTCCTGCTCTTTGGAATCTTCTTCTGTTTAATAACAATCAAAAATAATAATTTAAAAACGTTAGATGGGAATAAATTTATCGTTAAAAAGATGATAAAAGTTCGGTATCAAGTAATGAATTCACTTTAACTCAAACGATTCAACAGAAAAGTAAAGAACGGAACAGGGCTTTTTTCCTTGTTAACTGTTCGATTTTTAATGTGACTAAGCCTTTTGTACTTCAGGATTTTCTCCGAAACCTCCAAAAAAGAATCGGCAATTGAAAGACGCTTTTAAAATAAATGAATGATTGGTTTTAGCTGAAAAAGCAGAAAAGAAAGATAAGTTTCGGCATAAAAGTTCTCTGTTTTTTTACAACTACGATTATCCTTTAATAATGGTTAAAGCAATAGTCGGTAGCCATCATATTTCCTCAGGAATATTTTTAATTGGCATACTTCTTTAAGTACAAAAAGATATTTAAGAAAATATACATGTTTTGCACACATTTTTGCTATAAATTTAATGAGAAATACTATTAGATTCAGTTCTGAAAATGTAAATAATTCATACTAGAATTAATATTATGCACTGTTCGAATTTTCATTCTAAAGTTATAGTAAAATAACAGACAGAAGTCTATCCATCCAACTAACTACGGTTTTGAAAAAGAACATTTTTTACCTCTATGGTTTTGAAATCGTTAACAACTAGCATGGTTAAAAGTCCATGAATACGAAACTATACGGTCTTTTAACCATTTACAACTAGCATAGTTTCAAAACCGTAAAAGCAAACTTTAATTGGACATTGGGGATAGTTTAGCACCTTTATGGTGCTACCATCTATGGGTCAATGAAAGAATCGTATTCTAATAGCTCAGGGTCAAAAATTCGAGAGTCCAGGATACTGGAAAATCTTCATATGTTGAATGGAAGGGACGAAATATTGCAACCAATCCCTATACATGTGGCGGACCCAACCTTTCCGTATTGTTTATAGAAGGAATTCCAGCACTCTAAAACAGTTTACAATAATATTGTATTGTTAGTTTTCTTAAAAGATGGAGGGCAAGATATACAAATTCGATTACTTAGATTCGTATTATTTATGAAAAATTTAATTAGGAAAGTATATATAATTGGGAAAATCTTTTAAATTTGTACATTACGAAAAAAAAACTTTTAAAAATGTTTGCTGATGAAAAGTGGAAGGAAAATCAACTTGAAGTTACTTCTGGTCATATTTGTTTTTTTTTCTCTAACCCTTCTATATTATTGAATTGATACATTTGCTTTGGCTATATTAATACACTATTAGAAAGTATTATTTTTGCGGATACAATAGTGTAAGCTGATGACAAGATTATATTTTGGTGTTGTTTAATTTTTTTTTAAGAATTTTAAAATATTTTTAATTTTTCTTCTTCTCTTAAAAGTACTTTTTACCTTTTTTTTTCTTCTTTTTCTTGTTTTCTGTGTGTTTAATCTTATATTGTGTGTTCGATATGCTTGCAACAATCAATAAATCAGTACGGAACAACACTACGCAATCATGAAAAAAACTGAAAGGCAAATAACAACACAATTAATAAAGCTAAAATGATTCCACTTTTTTTTATTTATTATTTTTTTATCCTTTCCTGTGGATTTATATTATTAGATTAAGCAAAACACGTCATTAGTAGTTCATCTCATCAAAATAAAGATTAATCGTATTCAGTATAATTTGGCAAGATGCTGTTGCTCTATCCTAACTTATTATAGTCAAAAAATTTATCTAGTTAAATTTTTTTTTTATAAATTCCATTACCATGACACTTGGGTAATTTTACCAGAATTATTTTTTCTCTGTGCAGTTGCTACCGTTTTTTGGCGTTCAGATACACAAATTGTACTTTTTTAACACAACATATTCTTAAGCAACTAATTATTTTTCTATTTATTTTTTTCCAATAAATTATCTAAGGTATCAGAATCTTAATGTATTCTAATGTAAAGATAAATAGAACCATCGCTAAATGCTAGAATGGTTGGTGGTTAAATTTCCATAAAAATACTTTTCTTAATCCTAAATGAAATCTTATTCTCAAAAATCTTTCTCCTAGAATTATTTATTTAATCTTTTCGACTGGAATAATTGTTTCCTTTAGAATTAAAATAAAAGAGTTTGTTTCCCGAGTAATCATTTTCCTTTCTAGTTTAGAACCATTTAATCGATTCGAAATTCCATTCATTTATAAGAATTAAAATCTGTACTTTTATTTACTGGGATAACTAATGAAGTATAAGAGAATGTGTATTCATTTAAAGAAATGAAGACTTACAGTTCTCATGCCCATTAGAACCTTTTAAAATAAATTACTTTACGAACTCATTTCTTTTAAATAATTCAACCAGAAAATTGTGTTTTTATCTCTAAATGTTCTTTTTCCGTAATTTGAGTCAGTTGAGAGTTGTAACCAAGAGTACTCAAGTTGAGAATCTCTTCATTATTTTTAAGTTTCCTATTCACAATTTTTATACTGAAAATGTTTCATTAAAATCATTAAAAGCGATTGCTGATTCTATGCGTACCAAATTTTAAAACCTAAGAAAAAAATTGTTCAAAGCCATTTGTACAATGTTTGAAGTTTTGTTGTAGGTTTAAAGCTGAAGTTAGCATGTTAAAACATTTTTAAAATTTTCTTCAACCTTAATATAGTGCTTCGACCAGAAAAGAAATATGGTTTAATTTAAACATTTATTAAGGTTGGAACAAATTTGTAATGTTATTATAAATGTACTTAATATACTAGGTACTAATGCATTATGTAATTAAATTAACTCTGCACTGAGATTATGGATCAATGTTGAGCCAATTTTTCTGAAAATGTATGACATTTAGATTTAAAATTTGTTTCTGTGTACCTTTTTTACTATTCATTGTTTGTACTGAATGAAGAGATATTTTTTCGATGTATTGAAAAATAAACGTTAACTTCATGTTCAATAAAACTGTATTATCAGGAATTTCATTAATTTTTTTACCTGATTTATGAATAGGCGGTATAGAATGGAGGGAAGATACAGGGATGGCACCTCTACTTCGGTAGCTCGACGACCTGCACATGAAGTCGAGCACTTTATGGTAGAATAGTTTAACGAGGGCCAATACCGCATACCCTCGATCCCTACGCAGACTGATCCAAGTGGTCACCCACCCGCCCTAACACTGACCGCAGCCCGTGATACTTGACTTCTTCGGTGATCTGCTGGGAACCGTGTCTTAACGAACAGTCCACTGCGGGACTCGAAATGTAAGAGAAACTGTTTACACAAGCACGAATTCCATTCCAGACACGTACCCACCCAGTGGGTACACCACTCACCACTAGACGTTATTACAAACTCCACGAAGGTGAGTTTGTAATGACGTCTAGTGGTGTACCCACTGTGAGTTTGAAAGCATAAAAATGAGTACGTTAGTTTCTGTCTTGTTTTTCAAATACATTTAAAGCTTTTGAGTTAGGAAACTATATGGCACTCAAAATAGCATTAAAATTGTTCTCAAAGAAAGCATAACAGAAATTTTAGAAAATATTTTTGACATTTAAATGCGAAGAATGTTATGTAAGGGGCAAGATATAGCAGTAGATTCCTATACAACTAAGGAAAAAAGGGGGACAGGGTCATGCCATGGAACCAGTCGTCTTCCCCAGATGGCATAGTTGAGCAGTTTGATCGCGATACGCCATATCTATAATCTATTTCAATTACAATAGATTTCCCGGTGAAAAATCGGCCAATCAAGTTATTCTTCTCTCTCGACAGCGATAGCTGACTTTGCGTCTACAGATGTTCAAGTCTATAGCTTTGTAATTTTGAACCCAATTCAGAAGACAAGGAAAATCCTGGATTAAGTATTGGGAGAAATTTGCCACCATGGAGAACTCTTTGATAGAAATAACCCGAAATTCCGTTACATGGAGAGGAAAACCACTAAAACTTCCCACGGTTAGCCTGATGGCAAAAGGATACTAATCCATATTCCAACACTGAGAATATTTTACGTCAGCACTGCGGTTGGTGCGAGCCGGATGCGGAGTTCGAATTGACCAGCCGTCGCTTGGATTCGAGCCCGGTTCACCTCATTGGAATTCGAACGCGCTATCCCCTGAGTCGTCATGGCTCTGTTGTTGTTGTCGTAATTTATTAACGTCGCACTAAAACTTCTCAAGCTGGTATTAGCGACGGTCTGGGAAGGGATGACCCAAAGTTATGCCATCACAGTTTTGATCCTCTATATAGGGCATGGCACCACCGATTTGGTAACCTGACGTCCAGTGATCAAATACAAGCACTTTACGGCAAAACAGTTTAACGAGGACCAATACTGCATACCCTCGGTACCATCGCAAACTGATTAAAGTGGTCATCTTCCCGCACACTGATCGTAGCCAGTGATGTAATCTTCTGAGAACCGTGTCTTAACTATCAGTTTACTGCGGTACTCAATTTCATTTTATTTCTTCATTGATTGTAAGCGGAGGTGCGTGACTGACAGGCGGTGAGAATTTTTCGTGAGTGATATATCCTCTTTACATTTTGCATTTTAATCGCATGTGAGTGGAATCGCAAATGCGAATTAAATGACTTTAAAGCAACACAACTGATCGTGCATGTGCGATTCCATGAAGTAAAAATAGTCCCGCGGCTGAATTGTCAGAACGAGTCTATTAATTATAAACTAAATTTCTATTATCACTAAGCGCAGTTCACACATTTCTGGCGAAGATTTTTCTCGAAGGTGATGGAAATGCGGGATCACGGGAGAATTGCTCTAAAGAAGCATTCTTACTTTTTGGAATTTTCATTCACTTTTTGAATTTCTTTTAGTGAAAATAATCCTTAAAATAATAACAGAGTACAAAGATTACAAGTGACTTTGTAATTATAATTCATCTGTTCTTGTGACTTACTTCAACTTCTACTTTTCGACCCAACGTGGTTTTTTGGTGAAAGCGGGAAACAGCGATTAAACGGGAATTAGTGGAATATAATTTTTAAAAAAATTATCTTTAAAGAGTGTGAAAGTGACGATAAAATTACATCGTTCTTCAAATTTTACGTCTACTAGTAGATGACAGTTTTTAAATCTTATTCGAATTTCTCCTCTACGCTTGTACTCTAAAGAAAGCATAATTTTGAAGTTATGAAATTCCATCCTTTGATATCTCTCAGAAATGGTGAGCTCCTGAGAATTGAACAATTTTATGTCAAAGCCTTTGAATATTTCAAAATTTATTATATAAAACCTAGACATAAACAATGAAGAGACGGAAAATGGCGAGTTCGTTGCGGAAAACTGAACCATACAATATGTTAGGTATGATAAAGTAAGAGTTTTCTTTAAATATTTAATATTATACAATATATTTTTATTCATTCTATTTCAGTGTCTTTTTGAATTTTTTTTTTTTTTTTTTGAGATTTTAGTTCAAAACCTAGGTAATTAAATAATTTATCTAGAAGAAAAAATTATAAATTTTACGCATTACAATTTGTATTTTATGTCAAGTTAGCTGTTAGCCTGACATTACAGATTCGTTTATAAGCACAAATTTACCCTTTTTAAAAAAATAATTGTGAAATTTTAAACCTTAAATTTTTTATTAGTCTAGTTAGGCTTTTATATGTAGAGAAGCTATCAAAACCAGTCGGATACCAGTGTTTTCAACATAGAAAAAAAATGGGTGAGAATTTCTCACCCTTTCTCAAAAACAGGGTGAGATGAAAGTTAAGTGAGATTTCTAAAAACTAAAAAAACTCAAATAGACTTGAAAAAAAAATCATCACTTTTAACGTCTTCTATTTTTTAAAGCATTGAATATTCTTGCTGCATCATCATAGAAGATTTTGCCTTTACTAGGTATTTGTCCGTCTTACATTAGTGCATAAAAAATTTGAACGTCTTACATGAAGAAACCTTACCTACGGTAAACACATGGTTGCAGAGAAATGTGTTCTGAAAGGGGTTCCGTGGTTCGGTTGTGTTCTGTTGTTCGAAAAGGTTCTGAACAATACTGGTAAATAGGGAAACTAGATAACGGAGCAAATGTTGAAAATAATGAAAGATCCAGGAAGAAAAGTGAAACGGATTTTATTCTAAATAGCGTAAATCGAAGCTTCTTCCAAAATGCGAGAAATTCGCGAATTTTGAAATTGATTTAAAGAATGCACGAATTTCTCGCAGTAATAATTTTTTAATGCGAGAAAAGAAAAAAATATGCGAGATTCTCGCGTTCTCGCGCTGTAGTGAAAACACTGGATACCTTAATACTGTTTACAAAGTAAGCATCGTAATTATTATTCACACTGTTTAAAAGGAACACATCGCAATTCGTATTAATTATGTCAGGTCGTATTAACTAATCATAAGTTGCTTAATGTGTATTAGTGCAATTTAAATGTCTTTAAGTTTTTTTTTTTGTCTCCCTTTTACATAAGGGATTCACAACCTTTTTGTTTTAAAAGCCAGTTGAAGAAACAGGTTGACTAATGAAGGGCTACATGCATACTTAGTCATGTTGGTAGCAAATTTAATTTTATCTAAATATTAGTGTTTGGGGCACCAATTTTTTTTAGTAAATTTGCTTAAAATTAAACATAGAAAACTAATATTTTTTTTGTTGAAAAAAATTACCGTTTATCGGTAATTTATTAATCAAAAAATTATGAATTGCAGGAAATGTATGAATAGTTGGGTCAGGTGGGTATGTCTTTAAAGGGTCAATTTTCTTTTAAGTTGAGACTAATATTTTCCGAGCCATTTATTGGGATTGCTGACAAAATTTTTATATCAGTTTTAAATGATGAAAGAATTTATGGTTTTCAAACTATCTGATTGTTAGTATAATTATATTTCTTTTAATATATTTACTGTCAAAACTATTAGTTTTAGTTCAGAAGTTAGTAAATGGGCATTTATGGAACGGATCTATCTAGAAATTTCAGAATTCTAATTATGAATTGTTTACTGAGGTGGGATAAAGTGGGTATATGGTTAGGGCTAGTAAAGTGTTATAAGATGTATTTTTTCAGGGGTCTGCCCAGGTTGAATTTACTACCGTTGGGCGGTACCTTCACAAATTCAATTTCAGGTAAAACGGTGGTTTCACAAAATACTTTTTCTTAAAATTTTATTTTTGTCTCCCTTAAGAAACGATAAATCTATATTTTTACCATGTTTTTGTGTTGACTTTTTAATATAATTTTTTATTTTTCACAAATTATGTCAAAATTTTCTCAAAATTGGTATACCTTTCAGAAAAACCAAGACAGGCCCCTGCTTTTTTACTTCTGTATCAGCTTTAGTCACTAGATATCTATTACTCTATATTTTATGAGGATATAGCTTAAAAGATATATTACTTGTTTGATTATAACCCTACATAAAACACTGAAAACAAATTATCTTAATTTTATTTATTAAAAAGAAGTCTGGTCGAAATAACAGTGGCATGTTATTCCAATTAGTCTTAATGGGCCTATTTTAAGTTACAGATAAGTTCTGCTGTTCGCACCGGTTCTGAACAATACTGGTAAATAGAGATCCATGTTGAAAATAATGAAAGATCAAGGAAGAAAAGTAAAACGGATTTTATTCAAAATGGCGGAGGACTAATTTTTTCCAAAATTCGCTCATTGTGAAATTGATTAATAGTGCTCTATCTTCTCGCGTTAATAATTTTTTAATGCGAGAAAAGAAGGAAATAAGCGATATTCTCACGCTGTAGTGAAAACACTGAACTATGAAAAATAGGCATACGTGTATAAAATGGTATGCATACAAATAAATAGCATCAAAAAGTGATTGCAAATCGCTCCAGATTTCAATATCTGTGATTTTTTGTGTACTAAATGGTTGTTGATGCTGAAAATCTGTATATTGTGGATTCTTAAGGACTTTTTTTTAATTTAATTTTTATCAAATCAAGAAAATAATGGAAAATCATGGATTTAGGTCACTGAAAAATCAAATTTTTAAAACGGATGTTAAAAATACCCCTCACCCATATTCCAAATATTTGAATTTGTAGTAAAATCCCCACCCACAATCATATTTTATTAAAATATAAAATTTTTTAATCCTGTTCTTCAAAAATTATAATGTTCTTTTGAGGAATGAAAGAAAAAACATCATTTCTAGATTGAATTATCTTTTAAACTTCTGCGATTTCAGAATTTTTGTTATTATTATTATATATATATATATATATTTTTTTTTTAATTCCAAAAAGAGAACAAAAAAAATCAGTTTCTTTCCTCTTGGATAAACAAGAAAAGTATCTTTAGAATATAATTCTGCAGAAAAAAATTTTTTGCTTTTGTATTTTTTTCAGCTTCATTTCTTCAACTCTTTCTTTACTCTTCTCTTCTTTACTCTTCTCTTCTTTACTCTTTCAACTATTTAAAGTCTTTAAATATGACGATGCAAAGTATAACAGTTTTGGTTATACCTATCATTCCAATTTATGTTATTATAATGGTTTTTTAAATTTCTTGTGTTTTTGTTGGAGAAAATAGTAACTTCGTCAAATCATGAAAAATTCTAGGAATTAGTCTTTGAAAGTCATGAATTTGAAAATCTAGCAGATACCCTGTAAGTCTTTCTTGTATAATATTGTGTTTTAAATGCACCTATTTTTTTTTTCCAGGTATGAGATTTGGTGACTACCAAAATAGCTTGAGAAAACTCTCTGAAGACTGAGACACTTGTAAATGGACCTCCCAAATAGTTTGACCATCAGACTTGAAATGAAAAATAGCATTTTAGTGTCAAGAAAACATGTTATTAAAAGTAAGGAACATTTCAGATACTTTTCTCATTACTTCTTATCATATGTGGATTATGGATAAATCTTATTGAAGTTTAATATTACTTCACTAAGTTGAATTTCTAAATTATTATTTTTTTTTTCAGCTTTGATCACGAAAAAGTTCTTGCAATTATCGTGTGTTAGCATAACATTTAATAATTGCTTATATTTTTTTGTGAAAATTGTAGCAGTTAAGAATTTTAGTCTGGCTAGCATCTTCAGAACTGAAATTTCATAATCTGATTTATATGTCGGCATATTGAGCAAGTTACTGATCATTGGATAAGTGATATGATGTAACCAAGTTTTAATTTGGACAAATTTTTTTCCCAAGTTGAGAAATTTTTTATTTTTTTTAATGTTGAAATTGTAGGAAACTGATAGTGACCGATGGTAATTCATAATCACTCTGTTTTTACGGTAAATAATGATCACCTAAGTTTTATTCAAAAAAAATTTTTTTTTTTTTTAAATGTGAGACATGGACAAAAATGCTTGTACACTTTACTAAAGTATAACTAAATTTACTTAATAAAAGTTTTTTGTTTAGTCTTACAAAATAAGTATCTTCTAAACTGCTTCCAGTATTTTCCACTTCAAAATCAGGGATGAGATTCTTCCGCGGATTGGCGGATTTCCGCTTTTTCTCAGATTTTTCCATTTTTCCCGCTAATTTCCGCTGAAATTTTTTTTTGCACAAGTTAAAATATTTTATGAGGAATTTAATTTTCCGCGAAGCGAAATTATTGAAGTCCTTATTCCTCTCTCTGAAGTTTCTCTAAAAATCATTTCCTTGGGATAAAACTGGTTGACCTTTATACAGGGATGAGATTTTTTTCGCTTTTGTCTCTCGAATTTCAGTCTTTTTATCAAAAACTCCGATTCTCTAAAAGTTTTTTTTTTATAAATATCCCACTTTTCTTTAAAAATTCAGTCGTTGAAGTAAAATAATTATATTTATTTATGATTTTCAAAGATAAACAGAAAATTCCAACTACGTCCTAGCTGCTAACCCCTCCGCATTTTTCTTATATTAGCTATTTTCTCCTATTTCATGCTCAGAAAATAAGATTTTCCGTATTTTTTATCTGTCTGCGGTATAGCTCGTATTTTCGCAATTCAGACGTCGCTGCTTCTTGTATTCTGGCGTGAAAACAGACAAAAAAAAGAGAAGAAAAAAATAGAGGTGGATTTGCAGTGAAAATATTTATTTGCTCATTCAATTAATCTTGTAAATTTTTATTTATTATGTCTAAACAAAAACAATACAAACAAGCCTTTTAGAAATCCCAAGTCCAGACTCAGCAAATATCTCGATTTTTGTTCACACGATTTTAATATCAATCATCGATTTTCGTATTTACCCGATTTAAAAGTTGCGCATTGCGATTCTTATTTATGCTATTTAAATATCATACATTATGATTCTTATTTACGAGATTTAAGAATCCAATATCGTGTTTTGTATTAACGCGTTTTTAAAATCTCGATTTTGCTATCAAACATCGATTTTCGTATTTGCCTGGTTTAAAAGTTGAACATTGCGATTCTTATTCAGACGATTTAAATACTGTACATTGCGATTCTTATTTACGAGATTTAAAAAAACAACAATATCGCGATTTATATTTACGAGCTTTTAAAACCCTATGTAGCAGTTCGTATTCACGCGAGCTTAAAATCCTATGTCGTGATTCGTTTTTGCGGTTGTAATATCGCGCGATTTAAAAATGATGCATCGTGCTCTAAAAACTACACATCATGATTTTTATTTTTGCATTTTTTAAAATCGATGTATACTTACGTGATTTAAAGTCTAATATCGGGATTTATAATCACATGGTTTACAAGTTTAAAAATCACACTTTTTTGTCAAATTTTTGTTTATATTTTTATATATATATTGGATTTCCTCTTTTTTACTTTCTGACTACTCTCATCCCTGCAAAATGTACACATTTCTGCAAAGATCCCCCACCTTCTCTTAATAATAAATATTTTGAGTTACTTTCTTTTTCATTGATATAAAAATAGTGTAAGCTTTTGTTTAATTGTTTCACATCTACTGTAAACATTATAATTGATTATAAGAAACTATATCAAATGTTGCCCAGATAGGATAATTATTGGTCACTGGATTATACCTGATCATTGTCATTTCTTCTTATAAATAGTATAAAAAATAGCTAATTGTCTTGTCTTCAATAGCAGTCCATATTTATTAAGTGGAACAACTATAAAATATTTTTTAACTGTAATCACACAATTTGTTTTTAACTGTATACAAGACAAATGTGTTCTGATTTGTGCAATTTCCTTGCTTCTATCTTAATTCTATGTGTGTACATTGTTAGAATAATTTTTAAGTTTATAAATTAGCGTAATATAAATATGGTGAGAAATTATAAGCCTAAAAAGTATACTAAGCTTTTAGAAAGCAAAGTCAGTGAATGTCTTTTAGTGATTGAAAATGAAAATTTCAGTGCGAGAGCTGCTGCCAAAGCTGTTGACATACCTTACTTAACTTTACACTCTCACTTAATGATGTTAAAAAATCCAGCAAAAGTAATCCATGTGAGATATTTCTACAGAACATGAGAATGAGTTGGCTGCTTGCCTAAAATGTATGGCACAAAATGCAAAGATTTTTGGAAAATTTAAAGTGTTAATCTTTAAACTTGCTTTTGAATAAATCGTTTTATTAGTTGCTTTAACATATCTTTTTGGTTTATTTGTTTGATCTTGATGTCTTATAGTTAATTAACATTGTATAATTTATTTTTAAACAGCCCCTTTACTATAAAAACTGGTGATCAGTAATTACCCCAGAAGTGATCAAGAAATGATCAAGAGAAGGGAAGTTTGAGGTTGTTGTCAAACAAAAGAAGGTAGCATAGGACTCATCTCATATAGCCTCAAACTTCCAGTTAATACGTATTAAAATTCTATCTTGAATAGTTTTTTCACAAAATAGATGTTTGCTATTTTTGATTAGGAATTACCCCTGGTCACCCTAAATGTAATAGTTTTTCAATGTAAGCCAATAACCATTAATTTAATATCATTTATATAAATTATTACCCTGTATTATGTCAGTAATACTTATAACATTATAACAGTATGTATATTCAGATAAGGCCTGAATAACTGGAAAGTACAAAGCAGACTTATAATACTTTATTAAAAAAAATTGTTTTTCTTTTTAAAATTGGTACCTGCAAATTTACTGCCCTTTAACGGTACCTTCTGGAATTCATCTTTAGGAAAAACGGTAGTCTCATAAAATACTTTTAAAAAAACAAGCTCTCGTGTAAACCCCGTTCTTATTGCAAGCTATAGAAAAGGAGCTTTTCTGCCAGCATGTTTGGTCAGATAGGCAATATTAAAAGCCTAATTGGTTGCTTACATCATATCAAAGCAAGCTTTTTTTTTCACTGAGTTTTTTAAAATGTAACCACAAGGCTCCTGCTATATAAACTTTACCGTCTAAATTTGAACATTATCTTAAGCACTTGTAAATTTATTCTAATAGACCTTTATTTTTTATGTAGCATATTTTTCTCTGTGAAACTTTCTGTATGACCTAGTCAGGGGTTTGTCCAGGCCAAATTTACTACCATTTAGCTGTACCTTCACAAATTCAAGTTTAGTAAAAAAGGTTTCACAAAATACTTTTTCTTAAAATTTTATTTTTGTATCCCGTAAGAAACGATAAATCCATATTTTTGTGTTAATTTTTAAAATAATTTTTAATTTTCACAAATTACTAATGTCTAAATGTTCACAAAATAGGTACCTCACAGAAAAACGCAGACAGACCCTGCTAGTAAAAATGTTCTCATGATAACTTCAAAATAACTTTTAGTGCTGGTACTATTAAATTCACATTTTTATTAAATTCAAGTTGAAATTTAAATGAAACAATGATTTTAATGGATATTTGGATAAAATTTTAAGCCCAAAATTTTCCAAAAGCGAAATTATTTTTGAATATATAGGGAAATGTATCAGTCATAAATAATTTTTATTTGTAATGACAATTTTTGAAAATATTTTATTACTTTATCATATTTTTGTGTTGATTTTTTAAATATAATTTTTAATTTTCACAAATTATGTCTAACTTTTCACAAAGTAGGTGCCCCTCAACAAAAACCTAGACAAGACCCCTCATTATTAAATATATCTGTCAAACACAAGCCTCTGAGGATTCAAAAAATATCAGTGATAAATAATACCTTAAAAAAAGGGTACAGAGAGTGGAGCCAAATAAAAAGAATTGAAAATTATAAATTTTTTTAAAATTCAAAATGACCTTGTATTAGAAATTCTTTTATTAATCTTTTATATTTAAAGTGCTGATCAACCGACATTATTTTGCAGTCTCAAGAAATAAAATACTTACCATCAAAATTTCAACTAAAGACTAAGTAATTCATAAGCAAATAATTTTTGAATAAATAAGATTTTTAAAAAAACAAACAATGCATCTAACCTTCTATATTATATCTGTCTTATTTTGTATCTTTTGTCAATGTACTGATCAAGGGTAAACATTTAGAAATTATTTTAAGAGTTAAATTGGTTGGTACAAAGTTAAATACAAATTACGATATTGAGCACCCTCCCAGAAAAAACAGTATATTTAAGGGTATGGTTTAAAAATTTAAAATTGATTTCTAATCAATATACAGAGTTTTTCCTAGGAATAGAAAAAGGCACTCACTTAATACTGTAAAAATTCATCAAAATGTGTAATAACTAAGTTTTTTCCTCAACAGTTTTTAAATGACTATTTTATATATGTATTTCAAAAACGCAGTTATCATTTATTATCAAAATAAGAAAATTTGTAGTTTATAAAAATAATTAATGGCTTGCTAAAAGGCAATCTTAGTGCATATTTTTTTTTATCCATAAAAAGTATACTAACAATTGATTAATAAAAACTTGGAAGCTTTTTTTTTCTTTCTATAATTTTAAACTAAAAACTATGAGAAAATGAAATTTAAATTTGAAAAAATAACTAATTTAAAATTTTTTAACTATTTGAGAATAATTCTAACAAAGTAAATATTTGTAATAGTAATCAGAATTAAACCTATAAACGTAGATAATTTTACNGCATGGTCGATAACTCCGCCCCCAGATTCTTTAATTCGATATCTATTTATTTGCTGTTCTATTCTTTTACTTCTTATAAACTGTAACTTATGTTTTTATTTTTAGGTTTCATTATTTTACCAGAGTGAAACTGCTTGCCTTAACAGTCTGACAGAGGACTTGAATATATGCATTCTGCTTTGCAATGAATGGGGTTTTACTTAAACCCTCATAGAGCTTTTATCCATGTTTATAGAAAAAACTCACAGCAATGAGCATGAAATATTGGACGACTTATTTTCTTTTCCAGAATTTCTTGTAACAGAAAAAAAGGGAAAAAAATAGAACTTTTATCTTTGTATCTCAATTATTTCATATAATATTAAATAGTTCTTATGCTAAATAATATTTATTAATATTGTGTCATGATTGCTTTAGAAACTATATCTTACCTGATAAGAAAATAATTCCTATGAGAACTTTACAAATTTGGTAGTTTTTTTTTTAAAGTGAGAAATCTTTTTTATTTAAACTAAATACATTATTTGTAATTTTTTCTTATATCGTATATCTGATAAAATGCGTTAATGTAATGAAAATACTTAATCTTAAACTTATTGGTGAATAAATCATATCAGTTATTTTGTTGCAAATTCGACACCCTCGTGAATTTAAACACAAGTATCTAAATAAATAAAATAATTTGGTATCTGATAATCGAGTGTAGAAAAAATGGAACATTATTTTCAGTAAGACAAAACTGGGCTGTTTAGAAAATTGCAAAACCAAATTTCATCTTTGTGTAAGAAACTTTGTTTTGTGTTTTGAAGATGTAATGAAACCAGTGTTCCCTCCCTCTATAGGCCAGGTTGTCAAGCATGACTGTAAAGCTAATGGTTGTGGGTTCATATCGTGCTCTGGGGCATGGATGTTAATCTGTGCTAATGTGGCCCACCCTATGAACGGGTATTTGTGGCATTGATAATGATGCTTGCCTCCGTGAGTTAGGTTCACAAGCGCTCACAAAGGTCGAAAGGCAGGGAGCTCAGTGCTTATCGGTAAAAAATATTGGCTACATTGTTAACTTCTCTTTCCTCAGGGGGTTTATCTTCGGGTAAACACGGGTGTCACAATCCCGAGGTACCCCAGTGAATCGTTTATTTTCTAATATTTACTGTCACTGAAATTCGAAACAATTCTTGAATTTCATATTGTGGTTTTTGTTCCTGAACCCTTTTTCAGTATTGGTCTGGTCAAGTGCTTCCAGGGTGCAAAACTTGCAGGAAAGGTGGAGGTGCTCTGCGAACAGAGCCACTAGAGGATAGTATAGGTAACGGATCCGTAGGACAACCGTATAGTAAAAGTTAGACGGCCAATGCCTGAAAAGATACTTACCTCTTCTGCGTCTGCCAGCACTGGCACCGGAGTTATCAGGCGAGGCAAATAGTCCCAGTAATTCACTCAGAAAAGCTAAAGTCATGTATCTGTTATTCTTGGCCTGAAACGAGCCAAGGTACCAGTGAATTCACTTGGGTGAGGTGTCGAGCACCCGAAGTGGGGCTTCAGCGCTAAGCAGCCTCGTCCCCATATGGGCAAATGGTACGGTTGGAAAAGCACTGGAAAAATTACCGTCGACGAGCGTATCAATCATCACACAACCGCATTCACCTCCACGTACCCAACAACATTCATCTCTTAACCGATCGCCGTCACACAAACACACTTGGTAGTCATATGACCATCAAGTACCTCGTCACACAACACTCTCAGAACGTGTCCTTGGTCCACATGAACCTCGATCAAAGTTAATGTTGCCTCTCGAAGGAGGAACAAGAACCACTGCACTTAAGCAGAGTGGGAGGTACCTTCAGGCGGGCACCTTTTGGACGACTGAGCTAAGCTCGTGAGTGGTCGGGTCATTAGTTCGCCAGCGGAACAAAAGTCCCAAAGAACACTGCATCGTAAAACAAAGAGTCACTCAGTACACATCCGACCTCAATCGTCACTTATGTAGATGGTGCGGGCAGTAGCTTGAAAGGAGAGTGTCCGTTCAGTCGTCGGCATCTACCCAAGTGCTCTTGCACTCACCTAGGAGTCGCAGGATATCAAGGTTCCCGAGAATAGCCCTCATTGCTAGTAGTAGCGACGCGACAAATCCCGATATGATCGAGCACTTGACATCGTTGTCATCTTTGATCGCAGGGTAGGCGCCTTAACAGCCAAGGATGAAACCGTGAACGGTGGCGCATTCTGTCAGTTCTTCCTCAAGCGTCGGGGCTTCAACCAGAGGCTGGTACTTCGATGCTTTCTCCACGTACGCGTTCGTCAGGACATCTGGGTCATTTGTCTCTTACCGGATTGTAACGTCGATGCCGATCGTCCTCCTGTCATCAAGCAGGATTAGGTCCGGTCTCGACAAACGTCCGTTTGGAAGCCGGACCGGGGTGTTCCTTCCGGACTCGCCAGCCGTATTCTGAACTGATACGGGAGAGTGTGTTCACCACTCTATTGTGCCTGCGGATACACATGCGCGGGGTGCCTGTTGGAAATACATCAGCTCGCAGCATCATTGCTCTCAGCCACATGTTGACTTTCTTGCCCTCGGGACGTCGAAGCTAACCTTCGAGCTCCTACAGTGGATGACCCCTTTACCATGAACGAGGAGCTGTGCCCATCGGTCGAACTCTTTCCACCTCTAGTTGCCGACACTGGCAACGTCTCGCAAGGAGGCACTGACGACTCCTGGCACCTCGGGGTGGTTCGACGCTTAAGAGCTTTGCTCTAGTGCGGGCGTTGGCACGCGCACAGATCATCCTTAAAGAGGGGATAGACAACCCGCAATCTATCTGAGCAGCATAGAGTAACCCGTTGCACGTCGAGCTAGGGAGCTTCAGCCATCCTTTGACCGCTCTGCGAATCATCCGGTCGAGCACTTTCTGCTGTGTTGAGCTGACCTGGTGGGCTTGAAGAGTGTGGAGCAAGCGCGTAAGTGGTCAGAAGCTCTACCCTTTGGTCGGACTTCGGACCACTCCGCAATTTCTCGGCCGTCTTCAATTCGCATCTGAAAAAAGTGGGGTAAACTCTACCCCGAGGTACTTAAAGTGTCCTTCAGGTCCGACTTGCGAGATCTCCACCTCTCCCAGGAACAGCTTGGCGGTAGTGTCGACCACGAAATGGTCCCTGCACTTGCGCAGCAGCATAGAGATGCACTTACCGGCATTGAGTCTCATCCCGAATTCCCTACAGAACACATCTACGATGCTTAGTAGGGTCTCCAGTTCACCCAAGCTCCGACCAAGTAGGACTAGATCGTCCGCGTAGGCCAGGACAGGAGTCCGAAATTCCGGCGCTCCTCGTAACAACACTCCATGCCTGCTATCACAAAGCCTTTGGTTCAAGGCGTCGATCACACAATTGAATAACAAGGGAGAGATTGAGTCACCTTGTTTCACCCTGAATCTAATCTCGTGCGAGAGAGTCCCACTAATGGAGAGCTTTGTTAAGCTCTTGCTGTAGAGATCCTCAAGTACGGTGCCATACGCGCTGCAGGCGTCAACTCGTTCAAGTGCGGCGAAGATGTGAGGGTGACTTAACGTGTCAAAGGCTTTAGCGCAGTCAAGTAACTCCACAGCGGTTTCGGTATTCCCTTCACGCAAAGCTGTGTTCAACAAGATCCAAGTTCTCGGAGTTGCCTGGGCACTTCCGAAAATCTCGTTGGCTAGCGTTCAGACGAACACTTCTGGTGATATGTCGGCCCAAGACGTTGGTAAACATTCGTCCGATGACGTTGGACGTTCGAGATCGGGCTCCACTTCCCCATATCCTTGGAGGTACCCCCCGGTTTCGGGTGTAGCAGCGTGCTACCGCCTACCACAATGCGATTTTGGAACTTTTCGGTGCTTCAGCCATTGCGTGAACAATGTTGCTAGCTCATGTTCGACGCCATTCTTCAGAGCCCGCTCGAGGGGCGTAGACCATCAGGACCGGCGGCGCTGTTTGCATTGCAGTGTCTAATGACCTCTGCAACCCCCTCAGGTTCTCTGTGCTCCAGCTGGTCACATGATGGTTCGGCGGATCTTGAGATGCTGCCGCATGAGTCGTTTGGGGTCTCGAACACACCTCTAAAATATTTAAAGGCGGCTTGCCGATCTGGCAGTAAACGTGGGATTGTGACTCCATCTAATATTGACGCTGCCACTCTTGCCGGGGTCAGGGCCCGTGGTTGTTGGAAGCGAGAGAATCACTTGGCCCTGCGGCTACTATGCTTGTCGTTACTATGCTCCTTTCTGGTGTCTTAAGTGGCTGGAGTAGCAGCATCCGCGCTACGAGGGATTTGGTGTCCTAGCCCACCCACTTCCAATCTCGTCTTCCGAACCGATCAGCTACTATGTGGGCAGACGCCCCCTATAGGTAGCGGTACCTCCACTGCTCGCAATTGGTGCCTGATTTGCTAGAATGTTCGGAAGGAATGCTAATAGCGTCCCTTCTCGATGTTTCTTGCGCAAGGCCTTCTATCTGGCGTTTCGTTTTGCCCGGACAAGCTACTTTCAAGTGTCCTAGCAAAGTCCTGTCTCGGCGGTACTTCTGCTCTAGCTTCCAGGACTGGTGCTCCGCACTCTTCCGCCTGAGCTCTTCTTGCTCCAACCGTCCTGCGTTGAGCACCACGGGATGTCGGTGCCTCAGGTGCTGAGTAAGCCCTCTCTTGCTTCCGAAGGAGAGGTCGGGACGTTGCATTTGAACGGGAGATCCGGTTTAGCCTTCACTCCTCTGCGTTTGCTCACATGAATCGAGCCGGCAAGGTAGCTGGGGTGTAAATACCTGCTACACTTTTCGCACTGCACTAGCGTTGTGCTGGTTTGGATGAAACAGTTATGTGATTCGAAGGCCACAAAATTTGCGAACTCTTCTCTGCAGTCTTAACACTGCAGCGGCCCATTACGTAGAAGCCTTCAGGTCCTCTCATCCCTGGCCCCGTCCATCAGAATTGGAACCACGTCCAAGTCTCCCATCGTTCGAATTGATCAAAATCTTAAGTTGGCTGGAAAGAAACCACACGTCAGAACAAGTAATAAGGTTGATCAAGACACACAAGTCAGGTAACATAATACGTTACCTGATACGTTACAAGTCAGATAACATAATTACAAACATAACACGTAATATTTCAAGTTCATTCAATGTTAATCATGAAAGAAAGAAAAAATGCAGTTTTTCTATTTTGCTGAATGTAAAAATTCTTTTGATGACTTTAAAAATAAGGCAAATAAAATTACTCAAATTGTTAAATGCTTTTTCCTTTAAAAAATATAGAAAATGAATGCAACTTTTTATCAACAAATAAAAAAAAATTTGAAATATGATAAGTATATTTTAGGCAGAAATTAAAGAATTAATAGTTGCAAATATATCTCTTCGCAATGAAGTCCTGCTCGTGACAATTTCCTTTCATTGTTGATTTTAGCATCAACAATTTTTCAAGCGTTTGTGCTGACATGGTTGATCTGAATTGTGTACAATTTTTAGAGACAAAACTAAATATTCTCTCGCATGCGGCATTACTGTGAGGTAGAGTAAGAATACCTAACATCACTTGAGATAACATATAAAATTTGTTTCCTCCTGTATCCTTCATTTGACCAATAAGGGACTAGGCTTTATCTATTCTTTCTGTCACGATTTCTTGAGGTATTGTCTCGAGTTGTAGGGGGCAAAACTGCTTTTGCAAGAACACTAGAAATGTTGCGAGTGTTAGATGGGAAGTGTTACAGGATAATGTTCTAAAAAATGCTTCACAGATGAAAATGAGGCTTGATCAATTCTCTCGAGCATTAATTAAAATTAAAATTTCATCTTTAAATGGAAATATCTTTACCATGTAATCGCAAACGTTGACAGTACAGTCTTGAAAAAAAAATTTCTTTTATGGTAAATTTTCCAAAATCTATGAAGTACACTCCTATTACTAAATCATTATCACTCTTTTGATTTTCAAATTTACTGAAATCAAGATTTAGAAGAGTAAATGCCTTTATTTCACTAGGCTCGAAAAACCCTGAAGAGAGTTCTTTCAGCATATCCATCAAAATTTTTCTCAATAAATGAATATGGGATGTGCTTGACTGGAACGTTGCATTTGAAACCTCAAATACTGGCAAAACATAAAGAATAAATTGCCACAAGGCCTCATTTAAATCTGAAGAGAGAAAGGAACATTTTTTCTTCTCTATTCAATATGCTTTGCCTTGTAACACTCAGTTTTTCTGATGTAGCAGAAGGAGGGCTAGAATTTCGCTTCCTTTTTCTACAATGTTGGCCGTTCACTTCTTTAAAGTGGGCTAGGGGCGCCCACTGTTTCACCAATCTACCCAAACACCGTCCTAATGTCAGCCATCAGGTAGACACATGCTTCACGATTTTCCTTTGCTCAGCATTTGTACCGATGAGAAAATTGTATGAATATCAAATGATAAAGTATGTTTGCCAATGATAAAAAATATGTATAAGGTGTACCAGTGAAAAACATTAAATACTAAAAGAGTGATCTTCTGCTCAAATACCAACGAATAGTTAGTTAAAGATTAAAGTTAATTTGTTTACATCTGGGGTGTACTGCCAAGAGTTAATTAAGATAACGTTACTTTCACAACACAAATTGAATTCAGGATAATCAAAAAGATCACTATAACAGGGGTGTTCAGTCGAGAAGTTAGTCAATACAATATTAACTTGGCAACACCAATTGAATTAGAACAATCAAAAAATAAAAAAAATTCTAATGGCCAAAGGTTCGAAAGTGGTATTAGAACAAAGCATTGTTGCTGACCGACAAATTACCCAATTTAAAGGTTCATGGTCAATATCTCATTTCTTATAAGGAAGATAAACATGGCTTAGTGCAAAAACATATACGCTACAATACACTTTGGAACAATAAAATTGGCATAACCATAATAGACATGGCATACTAAAAAACGCAATGACCCAAACCGGTCAAATTACAGAAATATATAAACAAGTTACTCACCCCGTACATTTATTTCCGTTAAGGCATCTTGCTGCAGAAAAGAAAAGTACACACACCATACTGTCTCAGGAAGAGGCAAAAAAAATACCTACATCTTCGGTGAAAAAATTCCAACCTCTTTGGGTTCCATGTGTTCTGGCTGACTGCAATTAGGTATAGACGATCGGGAGATGTTGCCGCATAGGTCATTAAGTTTTTATTAAGCCATTAACTTATAAACCATAGCAAAACTTAACTGAAGTTGTGTGACATTAATTCTACATATAAAATATATTCTTACAATGTAAAATATGTTCGAGGTCGATGAAGGCGCTGCATGTCTAGATTTATCGATAGCCCTACACATATATAGGGCTATTCATTACCTATCAGAAGTCTAATCGCAGGTTCCTCAATTTACCTGTATATAAAACTGAAACACAAGGCGTTTCAGTTTCATATCCAGGTGAAGGCAAATTCATAATATGTCTCCCGAAGAAAGCGCTTTTTTCCTACAGGCTTCCTGAAGTACTGCTGGGTGCAGAGAAAACAGACAGAAAGCATAAATGGTAGAAAATGCTCTACTCCTGCACACAATGCAGCGGTAGAGACAGAAGGCTACTTACATTTAAACGAGAGTGCTGAGGTGATCTCTGGGGTCACGGGATAAGACTTCAGGATAAAACTTTAAACAGATGCTTCAGAACTTCCTATGGCCATCTGGATTTTTCTTATTTAGCAGTTGCCGCGATAACTTTTTTTTTTCTTTGAGGGATATAATCTACGCTGTGGACTTTTCAACCCAGAAACCCTATTTATCATCGTTGGCAGTTGACAATACGTTTCCCTTAGTCCTTAATGCAGCTAGCCTTGCTTCAATTCGCTCACCTTGCTCAATCAATATACTTAACTCTTCAGGAGATGTGCTTGGATTTGCGCACTTGGCAGCTAAGTTAGAAAATAAGTTCTGAGCCTTCATTCTGAAATCATCAAAATTAGAGTTTTTTGCTCAGATGCTTGTTTAATGCTTCCTTTTTCTTCTTCAATCCTGCACTGCTTCTCTTCGAAATCAATAACAAAACTGTTGTCCTCTGAAGTTGATGCACTGTCATTTGAAGGAACACTTAGTGGAAAATGAATGTTTATTAAATGTATATGTTTACAGATTACAAATTTGACTCACTTTCTTTCTGAACTGTGTATGTGTACCAAAGGAAAAAAATTAAATGAAAAGAAAATCTCTTATGTGTGCCATTAGTAAATTAATTATAATTAAAATTGAGATATGTACCAATGAATAAATATCTTAAAAATTAAAAGTGATGTTACCATTAAAATATACTATACAAAGGAATGGGTTGTAAGATTTTGATAGAGGTATTTAGTCGATAAAGTTTAAGACAATCAAAGAAAAAAATGAGAGATTAATTAAATAATAAATTTTGATAATAAATTTGGATCATCATTAATTGATGGAAAAAAAAGGCCGAAAGTGATCGAAAATAGTGGAAGGAAAAATTGCTTAAGTGCCACGTGAATTAACCCAACAGCAAGGGCTCATGGTCAAGATAAAGTTAAAGGACGACTGAATAACATCTATAAATTTTTACGTTTGTGCAAATAAACACTGGTCAAAAAAAGGAAATATGAGAATGTTACTCACCACATATTATTTACATCAAGGAGACAGGTCTAACATCGGACATTTTGAAGTGATGAAAACCAGAAGAAAATACAACGCAAAACTCGCTCACAAGTTCTTTTTTTTAATTGTTCATTATCTTACAACAGTATCAGTTTTGGAATGGGATGGGTGGTCCGTCACACATAAAAAAAATACATTTAGGCATCAAAAAAAATATAACTAATGAATAACGAAAAATGGCAAAAAAATGTAGCTTTGGGGTGGTTTGGTATGGCTCGCTGACCACAATCCCCGAGAGAAGTGTACTTCGTGGTACCAAAAACGTTAATAATCATAGCGTCCCCTTAAGCGCGGGAAAATGCGAGTTGAAAAGGAGGAGAGAGAACGACTGTCATTGGATGGGGGAATTACCACACGATTAGGTCGTCACCAATCAGTGCAAATAGTACTCCCACACATACCAAAAAAGGAGTCAAAAGGAAGAAGTCCCCCCAAAAAAAAGGCGTGAACACCCTAAAAATTCTAGAAAAAAAAAAAACGACAGGAAGAATCACCACGTGCAAATATTGAAGGTTACTTGAAAGTGATGGAAAAAAAGTTAAGTGGTGACGTAAATTAGAAAGTGAGGGAAANGTATATGTTTACAGATTACAAATTTGACTTTATAAGCAATGCAGGTACAGGAAAAACTGTGAATGCAGATCTTACAGTCAGGACATTTAATATCACAGTTACAATCACTTAGTTTCTGAACTGTGTATGTTTCTATGCTATTGATAGAAAGGTTTGCTCTACTAGATACAACATGCCATTCTGTTGTACTATGAACGTAAGCATTCTGCTTGGGTAATTCTTTTGCGGCATCATGTCTGGCTCATGACTTGTGCATGTAGTGATGTCAACCTTATCCTTTCCATTGACATGAATCGACCTATAATTTTTCTGTTGATTGCGTTTAAAACTGTTGAAATAGACTTGTCGAGGCGCTTTATAACCTTGCCTTCACCTTCTTCATACTTTATCTCTCTATGCCAGCGTTCAACCTTCCTGTTTGTATTCACTAAGAGACCAATGGTGGCAATAGGCCCAAACTTGAACACGACCAATGTAATATTTTTCGAAGTACAGTCCAAAGGCCTCAGTATTATTAAGATATTGTCAACAAAAACTGTACTCCTCTCAATATCTCTCTGATCAGTCTCAGAATGTAAGGAAAACAATTCCTCTCTCACGCTTTTCCTGCCATCTTCCTTTTTAATTTTTTGCACTAATTTCAGCTTCCATGCACGCTTGATATGCCAGGTACAAAGAAGTTGATTTTCCACTTCGCCAAAAGCATTCTTGAAAGAATTATACAATGCTGGATCATCATCTGACATGAAAACACGTGGCTTGAAATCTTCATACTTCATCCTTATTTCTTTAAAAAATGGTTCTAAAACATCAACAGATACTCTTGAGGAGTAAAGAGTTGCAACAGGAAATCCTTCATTTACCATAATAGTAGTTAATAAGTATCCTTGCTGATTAGTTCCATGAGTCGAATCAATCATGACAATGTCATTTTCATAGATTTGTAATATTTTCAACTGAGCAGAGTTCATCATCCCCAGGTAGAAATCTTTTTTTAAACAAGGATAACTGGAAAGATCTTCTTCTTTTATCTTGTAAATAAGCACTTGTCCTTCTTCCCTCAATTTATGCACATGCATCTGTACAGATACATTTTCATTTACGTCTAAAATTATATCTTCATCTACTCGACAAATATTGTGTAAGTCTTTGTTGTTGGTGAGGCTAAGGTGCTTAGTTGGAGAGAACGCCTGGCGAATATCATACAATAGCCTTGATTTTGGCACGCCACTGCTCATTTGAGAAGCCAAGAGCACTTTCTGTTCTTTTGAAATTGGCACACGACCCACTTCACAACTGTGTTCAATATGAGAGGCTTCATAGGAAACTGCTATTATTGTTCCAGTATCAGTTTTCTGTTTCTTTACAGCCATATGTGCTGGGCAAGTACTTGTTACTGTTTCATCAGAAAGAGATCTGTCACCACATTTCTTGATGTAGCTACTAAGGGTGTTGTTTTCTATTTCCGTTTTCCATTTAAAAAAACTATCTTCGTCTTGAAACACGAGGGTTTGTTTCTCTAATCTAAAATCTTGATGGCGAACTTCTATGTGTTCATGAAGACACTTGATGAATCGGAAACCTTCACCACGCAAGCTGCATATTGAAGTACATTTGAATGTCTTTTTATCAATACTGTGCATTTCTTTCATGTGATTCATTAATTTAGTATGAACTTTAAAATACAGTTTGCTGTGTGCACAAAAATGCACAAATTTTTTTAAATACGAAGCGTCCACATGTTCAGTAACATGTGATTTTCGCAAATGTTTGTAGAAATTATTTTTTTGAGAAAAAGTTGTTTCGCAGAAACATTTGGTCCATTATCACAATTTAAAAATAAATAAATAGCTAACAATTTTAAAAATAATTAAATTAAATAATTTCAACAAATTTGAAACGTGCAACAAGTTACACAGAACGAATCAAACTAATTCAATGCACTCACTTCAGTGCAAGTAGCTTAACTTTATTACAAAATAATTGAAAGGGTTCGAGAATGTTTAATTAAAAATAGCTTAAAAGTTACAATCTTATTTTCTTGGATCCACAAACGTTGAGAAACTAGTGGATCCGACGGAATCAATAAACTACAGCTCAATAGCTCTGACTGCTTTCAACAAGGTATAAACGTACTTTACCCTTGTATTTTACATAGGTAAGTCGAAGTTTCAAAGACATCTCATCAAAAGAAACATATTTTTTCATGGGGTTTTAACTTATTGGTTATGAGTTTCATAGAGTTGAGCGCAGCAATTAATAACCCAGGTTCCAATTTAATACCTGAGACAGCTTTTAACAATGTAGATTTGCTAGGCAAGTTTAAAAACTTTCTCAGTAGGCGATATGATTTAGGACTTGCAAGGTACAACTGTAAGCAAAGATTTTTATCACTCACAGACCACCTTCGTCCATATTTAGAAACATTACAAGTTAAAAGTTGGCATTTAATAAAATGATAAATACTGGGAGTTACTAGAGGCTGTACTACATTCAAAATACTTTTAATATCCAGTGCAAAACACTTGCGCTGATTTTCCAGTTTCCTCTTCAAAAAGTATACTTTGCTGGAAAGCCTTTTAATTTGCCTTGTTTTGGGAGTTATCATCAGGCCTCTTTGGGGTCTGGCACATCTCTGAAGAGGTAGAAGAAGCTGGCTCTTTGTGAGGATGAACAAGATCCTAAAAATAATGTAGAAAGGAACTAGTGAGTCTACTAAAAGCATAATACTGTACATTCATAGTACAATGATAATTCTATAATTCGTTTAGAAAAATATTAAATTTCCTACGAATATCACTTACAGATTCTAAAAATGTGAGCTTGGTATAATTTGAGAAATTACGCAAAAACAAAATTGACAAAGTAGGTTTAATTTAATTTGCAAATTTAACATAACAGTTTACCTACACTAAAAAAAAAATAAGGGAAGAATTAAAACAAAAAATCACTTTTAATTACATCAACATTATGAGATGTTATTCCGTCTTTAGGCTGGACACCCCTATTAAATTAAACGCAAGATGAAAGGTATTTTTAGACCAGAAAACATTTATTGTTGTTAATTACTCTCGACAGACTAACTTGATAATAACAGGCAAACCTGTAATTTCTTATACTAATAAGAATTCAATAGATTTGAAGTAAATATAGTTAACTAAGTAAATTTTTGCTACTTAAGCATAAAAATAATTTTGAAAGGAGAAAATAATTTTTTGATTTTCAAAAGGAAATAATAATTTAACACGAAAGTATAAAAACAAGCAAGTAAATAAAGTATGCTAATAATTTTCTGAAGATGGCTAGAACGGCAAATGGGGAAATTAAAATAAAACTTGAAGGCGCTTAAAACTAAAAGAAACGGCAAACGAAGTTGGTGAATAGTCGAAATTGATTGTAAAAAAATCATTTACTAAAAAAATATAAAAGGAAAACAAATTAAAAGGGGAATTAGATTAAGTTAACGAAAAATTAATAACAGAATACACTGTTAAAAAACGATGTCGCAGAACACTGTGACAAGTTCAAATTTAACCTTCTATCTCGAAATTAGACTCCATTGAATTCAGCTGTTTATCAATTTGGGCCATACCATTTTCAGTGAAACTGCAAAAGAAATGAATGTGTTTGCACATATTCTGTTTAATTAAATAGTCTATGCAAGTGCAAGAAAATGCATGTAAACACCTATTGCAATTAATGCAAGTCTATGTACATTGACAGTCTTCTTTCTTTGCTTGCACAACATACACTTCTGATGAAGTAGACTTTAGGAAAAAACAGTTTTCATCAGAACTTCTTATGCAGTCATCCAAACACAAAGATAAGCTTGTCTCATGCCTACTAGCAATATCTTTTAATTTTGAGGATTGTTTGCCTTTATGAATAGCAATCAAGCGATCAACAAGCTTGTCCCGCTAAAACTTCATAAGAGCTTTTATTGCCTTGTCCAGTCTCTTATTGTATTTTCCATTTAAATACACATACTTAATGCTCCTATGCATTCGCTCGATATGCCTGTCAGTGTTTACTCCTGCACTCAGGCGATAACAGAATGCCCACGAATTCTTAACTTCTACGTACTCACGTTCAAACTAATCGTGGAACTCTTTGGTGTCAATATCAGAAGAGAGCTTGTTTAATGCAACCCTAAGCATTTCATCAAATGTGACTACATTTCTTTCTTCAAGAAAAGTTCTTAACATTTTATATACTTTCACCTGCTTTTCCACACCTTTGATTTTTTTTAAGGTTATTTCTCCATGATTGATGCCAAGTGCAATACAGCTTATGAACTGGTGGCAACATAGACTCGCACCAAGCATTATAAAAACACTCTGCCATATCAGACATGAAAACATTGCTAGCAAGTGGCTCTCTTAACCTTCGTTTTATTTCATTAATAAAAATCTTAATATCTTTATCCACTCGCTTTGTAAATAAAACAGCACAAGAAAACCCTTGTCTCAAGTCATCTAAGAAAGGACTGTTACAAGTTCAAGAACTTGTGCATTGGTTCCATGAGTGTCATCCATACAAATAACATCGGCACCATATTTCAAAAGAAATTCTTTCTGTGCTTCACTCATAAATCCCAGTAAAAAATCATCATTTGTCAGTTCTGAGTGTGACTCACAAAGCTCATTAAATGGCTTGTAAATTAGAATATTTGAGGGACTGTCCTCCTTCATCAGAGTGGGAAAAGAAGTTCACTATTCGAAATACGTTAAATGAAAATATAGAATTGGTTATGGAGTTAATAATGTATAATTGTCTTAGCTTTATTACGACCTTTTAAAGAAAAAAAAACGCTTTATATTTCATTTAATGCAGAATTTGACATTAAATCATAAATAATGAATAAATTTATATTTACCTTCACAAATATATAATTTCTTTTTATATTTGCAGTTGATTGCTTGATGGTTATATAAATGTAAGCAGTGCACTGACAGTCATTTGTCTTTCTAATAACAGCGCTACTTTTATTACGACTGCTTTTGTGGCACATATTGTCTTTTCTAAGAGGATAAGAAAAGCATAATTTTGTAACTAATTATTCAAATATGTATAAAAAAAATTATAACACAGTTAAAGAACTCGTACTTGCAAATAAGTTTTTTTGTCTCCGTTGGACGAGATCTGCGTGTAATCCATGATGTGCAGGTATTAATGCTGAATGCGTCAATTTCCCTCATTTTTGGTGATGATATTCGAGAATTTGTATGGAAGATCCACTTCATTGATACTAAGAAACGTTGCATCCATATTTAACTTGTTGAATGTTACGAGATACCGAAAACAAAAACATAAGCACACATCTGCTAGGCAATTTGCGAGAACGCTCCTTTAACGCCAATAGAAATTTTCGCCTACCCTTTTATAATCTATGGTATGGTTTGGCATTACGTGGCAGGGATACTCTTGACTAAGCCTTTCCAACACTTCCTAAAATGGGGAAGTATAAATAAATGATGTATATCACTATAGGAATATACTCAGATTAAGATCAAGTTTCAACTCATAAAATCATATACATGCCACCCATACAAAAATGACCAGGATGAACCAGGGGCATGATTTAAAATCTCCCATACTCTGTCACATGTATTAGGGCTGGCACTCGTACCTTTATACATCCTTCAGTTTCTGAAATGAATCACATATCTTTATCCCGAACCTCTGGGAATACGTTCATCAAAATACTATCATTTCTAAATACAACAAAATTTGTGGAAATGAAAACAACTAAAACATTCTAGATAACCCCTTGATACCACAAATCAAATACAGTTTGTGGAACAGTGAAGAAAACAAAAAAAATCATTAATTAACATTATTTACCTATATTTAAATTGTGTTATCTAAATGTAAACTTGAGACAGTAATTGTATTTATGAAACAAATATTAATTTAGACCAAAGAAAAGACCCTTTTGTTTACATTGAAAGAACAAAAAAAAAAGTTTTTTTATCAATAACACCAAAACAATGAACTAAATAATAGACCTAAAGTAAATCACAAAAAGAACAAAGTTTAACGATGGTATATCACATTTCATTTCTTGAAATTCCTTTCAGTTCATTAAGGGTACTTTGAAGTTTACAGGTTCTCCAGAAAATGACCTTTTCTACTTGAACCGAGTACGCTGATTACACCACAGAAGCTCCCCCTCCAAATGCCGGAGGTATGGAACTAGAGAATTCTAAATTTTACACGTCTACCACTTCTGGTAAACACGTGAGTTTGAGATTCGGATTTTGAAGAATGAAAACGAATGGAAGTTTCCAAAAAAGCAGGCTAGAGACTATATATACTAATTGTAGGTGTGCGGAATCCAATTTTTAGACTGAAATGCTTACCTTGTCGAGAAAGTACCTAGAGAGGTCAGTCGTATGGAGGATCTTTAGCATAATTTCTAAGATGGGGTATTAAAAAAATTTCCAGAGCTAGTTCGCAAAGTTTACCGGCATGAGTTGGTTCTATACATTTGAAAACAGGAATTTTTGATAAATCAGGCAATATTATTTCGCACAGCTTGGGTTACATTTCACGAGTTATTAACTGGCACCTTTTAATAGAACCATCACAAAAGATGGTTTTGGATATTTTTTCCCTCACCTCTATCGCTGTCACGGATTACACCCGTTAGAGAAGGGCAGGCTTGATTGGAAATTAAATCTATGCAGTCCGAGCATTCAATATCTTTTTCGACGGCATATACTACCTACCCAGCAATGTATGCGATTGCCGCAGATTTTACAAACATAATTGGCATACCGAAACATGCACACTCCAGGATCTTCAGTTCGAGGATTTAACCCTTTATGTCCCAAATTATGTTTTTCAAAAACTTGTGCAATACATTTTTTTTAATGCTCAATTTAGCTGTAGAAAGACACACAAAAATTGAGATTCATTTACAATAATTATTTTTATTGTAATAACACAGAATATTACACGGGACTTTAAAGTCCCGTCGGGATTTATGTTCATTGCATTGCCGTTACATTCATTAGTATGAAGAAGAAAAAAATATTAAATGTAAATGAAAAGTAATATATTTTTACACAATTAATTATGGTATTGATAAAAGCAGTTCTTTTTTTCATTAACACAAAGAAATACTTTGCATAATGTGCACTGAGAATGCGGTCGTGACTCAATTCTTTTCGAAGCACAAAACTCACACCGTCCTCTATTTTTTACAAATACCGGCCAATGTGCACCTTTGTTTTGTTGTCTTATGTCATCAGAAACGGAAAAATTTGCTATCTTGCGTTTTTTGGGGGGTGGTAATTCACTTATATCTCCAGCATCTGATCTAGGTCTTCCCCTTTTCTTCGAAGACACTTTTGACATTATTAGACCTTGTTTTACCCTTCGTTTGTATTCTAGAAAAGGTATTTCATCCTGTATGTCAGAGAAGCAAGTATACGAGTTTACCATTGCAATTTCTATAATACCGAAAAAGAGAGGATGCCACCACTTTTTGGCCTTTCTATCTCTATCATATAGTGATTTTAGCATGTCACTTTAATCCACGCCTCCCATGTGTCTGTTATAATCTCTTACTATTGTAATCCTACTATATTAACTTTTTAAATATTTAAAAAAAAAATCTAGTTGCAAAAAAAAAAGAATAAAAAAAAACGGCTAAGTAGCAATGTTTTTTTTTTTTTTTATGTGGAATTTCAAATGGCCTGCATTTATTTTCTATTGTCACTTTTTTCTAAGTACGCTTCATTAACAGGAAAAGCATTGACTTACCCGATGCAGTGTCCATGAATTTGATGTTTTTATTGCGTGTTGGCTTTTATAAGATTTTTAAAAAAATTATTTTGATTAAAAAAAATTACTAAAATATTTTATTAGGTCGGATAAATGGGCACTCATGAATAATCAGTTTCTTTGAAGAGATTTAAAAAAAAAGCTTATTTTCTTATCATCTGTTGCTTCAGTCTGTACAACTTCAGAATAAGCCATTCATTCGCTTGCTGTTGATTCTACATTACCTTTCGAAGCTGATGACGCAATACCCATAATTAAAATTTTTTTAATGCAGTTATTTGCGTTAGTCATGTTATTTGATCCTGGCATTTACCTTAGAACTTAACAAAGTAATTCCACTTCATCGGATGTCATTTTTCGAGTAAAGACATACTGAATTCCTGACTCCAGCAAATGTTTTATACACTTCACTGTTGATTGAAATGTGAATTTTAGAGCTTCGTATGTCTCCTTATTTAAAAAAGAAGTAGAATCTACAGCTAATCCACTCCACTCTTAGAAATAGTTTAGTTAGTCTTCTTCCAACCCAGTTACTCTTTCATCATCTATGGAGAAGAGAAATGCATTGCATCTGGATTTCTTGATGTTATAAAATGAAGTGTTTTTTAAGTTTTGAACTGTGAACCGTATATTGATCATCTCTAAAAATTCTATTGTGTTAGTTTAGTTTAGGAATAGTGGCTGATTTAGTCTTAGCATTTTGCTTCAGAAATTTTATTGCTATTGTGTCCAGACTAAATATTTTAACAGCTCTAGAAACAATATTTTTTTTCAAAGATGTCCACTAGCAGGACTAGAAAAAACCTTCACATTAGTTTTATGGTTGTCTGCGGATATCCTAATCACCCTGAAACCAATTTCTTCAAGGCGTCGGAGAGCTTCTGTCATTTGGGTGGCTAGCGGGAACCCTGAAACGGGTTGAAAGCCCAGTAAATATGAAACAAAGTAATGAATTAGCCAGCTTCTTCGCCATTCCCAGTTCTGATACCTTTGTACTCTCAGTTGTTGTCCAACAAGCTCGTCTGCTTGCTTGTTGTAAGTTGTAGATGGTTTGATGATCATCTCATTTGTGATAATGGAATCGAAAGATGTTCCTCTGTCGTTAATTGGCTTGCTTTCATTATCCTCAATGCATTTCTAAAACTGCATTTAGTTTCCTGCCAAAATCTTCAAATTTGTATGATCCGATGAGCACATCATCTTGATACAGGAAAACATCTTTATTTCAAGAAAGGGCTTTAATTCACCAAATGGCGTGACAAAAGTTAAAACACCATGAAGATTCTTCGGGTCATTATTGTATCGTTGGTTCGGGAGACCTCTCTTCGTCATGAAGGCCTCATTACAGCTCTTGCATTTGAAATTATGTGATCCAGGGTCGCTGAGGCAGGGTCCTGGCAAGAATCTTTCTGTGACATTTCCCACACCAGTTGTTCGTTTTAATGATGGTGAGATCGTGGGCTGTCTTCAGATGTTTTCTGATGGAGCTGGTGTTATGGTACCATCTGCCAGTCTTGTATGTAGCTCTACATCCATCAATGACACAGGGTGTGGGGGATCTGATGGGGAAGACCCAGTTGAGGATTTCATCCGTAAAACATGATTTGTCGGGACAGTTTTTATTCCTTAAAATGGATGGTGCACAAGCAGTGTCGGGATCGTTGCTGGGCTTGTCAGTCGCGTGCCCTAGACTTTCACTATCAAAGCTTACCTTTCTGTTAGTCAGCTTTTTCTTCCTCAAATTTGCTGGGATAGTGCGATGCCTGGTAGGATAAAGATTGGTACTTACTTTCCCACTACTACCGCACGTATCTCCCACAAGGTCAACCTTGCTGTTAAATAACATCGGTCTGGATGCATGTTTTCTACGATGCTCACCTGGAAAGAGGAAGTCATCATCTGAGTTGCAAGTGGTAGGGATGCCACTCGTAGAGGGTCTGCTTGTTGATGGGATCAGCGGTAGATGGTGAAATGGGTGGTGGCAATTTTGCCAAAATGTGAGCCACGTCCAGATGCGTTTCGAGGTCCCTTAAGGAGAGGAAACTGACCCCACATTTCTGGAAACCCGAACCTCTTAGTAGCGGCAAGAGGCAAAGGGGGGAAGTCATCATCGATGTCAATTAATTTGGCCTGATCACAGTTGACAGGCCTTGGAGCTAGAGGAGACGAGCACGAGGAGAAAGCAGACCAACTAGGCGGCACCAGATCAGGAGGGGAGAGATGATTTACCAACCTCAAGCAGATGATTTACAAGGGAGCCATCGTTCACGTAGTCATTGTTGTATCGTACTTTTAATTTTAAGTGAAGACATTTGCTAGCTGAATTAAATGATAAAATTAATTTTAAATACATCGCGTTGTGTCTTTTAAATTTTATTTCTTAGTACACATAATTTTTTAGATTGTTAACTAGCCATTATCAAAAAGATTCAACATTAATTAATCAAAGGATAAGCTGACCTTAAATAATTAAAACCTAGATGAATTAAAATAAAACAAATTTTAGAAATATACGAAAAGTATTTATTGACTTTAGTAAAATCTAGATTAAATAAAATAGTTACAAAAATTGGACACATGGACTTTGACATATCAGTCCTACTAAATTAAATTAAAACATAATCAAAACTTAAGAACATTAAAGTTAAATTAGGTTAAGGGACTCTGTAAGAGGAAAGAGAAGATCGCTTAGAAAAAAAAATTATTTAATTACCCAACCATAACACTCCATCCGGCAAAAAAGAGAAAGAAATCAAAGATTTTTTTTTTTTTGAATATTTATTCATTTTTTTTTTGGATATTTATTTTGAATATTGCATATTAAATAAATATGTTCTTCAATTCTTCTCCGGTTCCCAGAACCGGGGTTCAAAATGTCTATTCGAAGAGTGTTTATGTGGCAAATTTCCATGTCTAACCTTCTGCAGTAGGTCTCACGTGTTTTACATTTCCGTGTATGTGTGTCAGGGTGATTCGTGATGTGTGTAAGCGTGTCCATCTTTGAACTTTCAGTTGTTGTGAGTTCAACAAGCTCGTCTGCTCGCTTGTTGTAAATTGCAGATGGTTTGATACTCATCTCAGCTTCGATAATGGAATCGAAAACGTTCCTCTCTCGTAAATTGGTTGGCTTCCAGTATCAGGCGCTGCTTTATCAAACTGGAGACGGTGTTGCTGCTAATGGCACCAATAAATCGTTTGAGCGTAGATTTTCATGGCAACGAAACTCTTCGATTCTGATGAATCTATACTCGCTTGGGGATCGGCTGTGTAACAAAATCGAAAATCTGATTGTTTTTTCGGTCCACGAGGTTTTTGCATCTTGACACTTCTTATCTTCCCTAAAAGTCTTCAGGAACTCTTCTGTATTCCTGTTGAATCTGTTAGCGTTTATTTTTCTTCTAAAGTTTATAATTATGGATCTCGTTACGTCGCAACCTTTTTGACCAGTAAAGCCTACAGTCATCAGAGGGTTCAGTTGCACATCTACATTATAAACCAGTTTTTTGCGTTTACTTGGTTGCTTTTAGCTCATGGAAATTCTGGAAAAACTAATGATATTGCCGTGGATTGCAAGCACTTGTATTTTAACCAAGCTTAAAATCACTTTCTTTGAAATGTCTGCTGCAAACCACTTAGGCAATTTTTGGGTTTCCATAATTCATTGGAATTTTCTCCTAGGAAAAAAAGAGCGTTTCTTTTTGGGTAAATACTGTGAGAATGTTAGATACAGTAGGATTTGTTTTTAAAAGGGTACTGGTTTATAAATCGTTGTTCTTTTTGTATATGGGTTGTTTCGAAAACATCTTCACCTAGTTTATATATTTTGAATTCTTGTGAAAATAATAATGGATAAAATATTCGTAAAAAAAAATATTTAAAATTTCAATATTAGAACTTTGAAAAATAATTTCTTGTTATAAATTCATAAATAAAAACAGACCTATCATCTCGTCAAATTTACACTTCACTGGGCAGAATCCATACATCTTAATTTCATCCATTTATCAGAATCTTGTCTCGATGTTTTCTTTTCCATATCTGTCACGAATTATATCGTGTGAAAGTAACGTTGGTGAAACAGTATGAGATCTTCCATAGTGTTTATGCAATTAGTTTCAATCACAGTGCTAGAAACAGCGACAGCAGGTACAGGGATGGTTCTCACGTACAATAAGTCCTCACTAACATTTGTGCATTTAAACAAAGCAATGTTCAAATCCTTTAAGGTCCCCCGGATCGAAGTCAGTTTTCAATTCGCATACTATATTCTTGCCTACCACTTCCGATGCTCGCTTTGGTTGCAGCTTAATCAGCTTAGGCTGGTGCCAGATCTGTAGTCGCTCTGTCGGGCCAGCATGCAGCTTCTTCTTACAGTAGTCCTCGACTGCATGTAAAAGGGCATAAACATGTTTGCAACTAGAAGGTTCTTTTCCAGTCTTCAGGAGCAGCAGGTAGTTAAAATCTGAATAGAAGAAAAGAAATCAATTTGGAATATTAACAATTATGCAACAAGTATTTCAACTAAAATAGCCGATTTCAATAAAACATAGATAAAGTGAAATATTTGATTTAGTTGTTAAACTGTTTTAGTCAAATATTTATATCTTTGCTCAAAAGGAACAGTAAACGATAAAAATCTGAAGTTATCTTTCTTTGGTTGGACTATTGAATAGTTATTATTGTTAAATAAGTTTAACAGTAAAATAATTAAGTTTTAGAAACTGTTTTAATATGCAAATTATATATAAAAAAACTGGTATAATAACTTTGAATTAAAGATGGCATCTAACAATAGTGTATGAATTATCTATTAAACAAAACAGTTTTAATCTCTCTTTCATTCTCTAATAAATTATATTAATAATCCTTTATATTGCACTTGTATTAATATTGTTATTGAGGTTATTTCTGTATCGTGATCTATCACGCCAACTACAATTGATGAGGTGCAAAAGAGATTTCAAACTTGCAATTTTTTATATAAGAAACAAGTAGATGTTTTTGCTTGGGGGGTGGATACGAGTTATATCATTTGGGTTGATCCCTTTGTGTGATGTGTTTTTCAGTTTCTAGCAGTCCTCTGCCCAGGAGTTGGCCAAAACTTGGCAATTATTTTGCTGCAGATCATGATACAGAAATCTACCCAAGTAATTTTCTGTAATCAACCAAAATATGTGTGCAGATGAAACTATTAAAATTAGGCATTTATAAACTCTAAAGATTATAGAGATAAACTCCAAGATTTGTAAATTTCAGTAGCCAACGCAAACTAAACATAAAGATAGAATTGCACACTACTATAAACAATAAAGTTATTTGAATACTTTTCATAACGTAGGTGCAAGCGAAAAAATTACCAATATGAACTCACTAGGAGAATGCAAACTTTTTTTTTCTAATTTTGGCGATGTCTATTAAAAATAATCAAATTAAATACATAAAATTACCTAATTTACTTAAAATTTCCATCATTTGTTATTTTTTTTTTATAAATAATGAAAAAAAACTTATTTTGCAATCAGATGAAATTTTAACTTTACTATTGTAGACAACCTTCTTCTTCATCTCGGCTGACACTGTAGCAAATATTTCTAAGCATTCTCCTTCAATGAATGAAATTTTACTAACAAACTTTTCGTTGAACATCAAAAAACCTTTCTTTTCTTGGTAACTTTTTCTTGGTATTATCAGTTAGAGCTGGAAAATGCTCTGCATTTTCTAAGATCGAGAAACTTGTAAAATCCACCGAATATAATGGATTAAGTATACTTTTCTCTTGGCATATTTTCCGAGTTTTTCAGCATTTAGTTCTACTGAAGCTTATAGCTTTAAAATCGTTTTCAAAGTTGAATAAGCAATACCCCAAAATTTAGCAAGATCAACTTTAGTGCCATGAAATTCTTTATCTTTTTCGGCCAGAGAAAAGCAATTTTGTTTCGACATCCTACTTTCCAGAAAAGAAAGAAAGGGTGACTGCAGTTTCGAAAATGAGAAAAAATGCTATAGCTTTCAAACTCAAACAAAACCGACTGGAAATCTCATTTGGTATGCTATCACAGTAAAATGAGTGAAACCATTTCTCATGGAGGAGAATTGAAGACACGACCACACCTCTCTATTCAAAGTGACTTATCTTGGTACAAACAGCTTGAATTGTGAATAATTTTCTGGAAGGATGGTAATAAGTTCTGGTTAATGGTGTCCATTGAAAGTAATTGTTGTTGGTTTATCCGCTTTGACTGTAGTATATCCATGAGGAAAGTACTTTTTATTCGGTTGATCGAGGATGTGAGCTGAAAAGCATCCCTGTTCTGAATCGAGATCGAAACCAGAACTAGTATTCATATCGCATCCTCGAGGGAGCAGGGTTCGTGTATCCATGTGATGATAATGAAATAATCCTTTAATTAGAGGTAAAGATGTCGTTTATTGATGTGAAGAGTGTTTGTTATCGATATTTGGATGTAGATGAAAAGAATCCATAGCGGAAAACAATAATAATCGAAGGAGAGCTTGGAGAAGTATACAAAGGGGGGTGACGATGATAACGGGAACAGCGTAAGGGAGAAAACGAAACACATCTTGTAGACCGAGACTCCTCCAAGGTTTAACTGGGAATCTCGTATCGCAAATAAACAGCGTCAGTAAGTCATCTAGAGTACATGTGAAACTCGATCATTGTTGACAACTTTTTGATTTTGTTAGAAATTCAGAACAGTAATACTTAAATTTAATTTTTACAATTAGAATTATCAAGACTTTCCAGGTGCGCGGATACCTGTAAATACAGCCAACTAGTAACTGCCAGTTCAATAATAAGACGTAAATAATAGAATAAGACATAAATAATCGTCAAAGATAAAAATCGAACAATACATAGAAATTTAGATGCAAAACACAGCCAGATATTTGCCACCTTATGATGGAAAGTTTTGAAATTACAAAATGCAAATTTAAGAGACATTAATGTTATACCGGAATTGATAATATTTTTGAATAATATGTTACAAGTGAAAGTTTTTTCTCTACTAATTAATTCTATTTTAAGTGTATAAGAAAACTATAAAAATTGAGCTAGTTAATCTTCGGGTAGAACATGAAATATTTTTAAGATTTGAGGGGAAAAAAGAAATATTTAATATGAATAGCAAATGAAATCAAAATATTAGGAATTATAAAGATAACATAGAACGATATGAAAATTATGACAAGGTTTTTTTTTTTAAAAAAAAATTCTAATTATGAAAATACCTAATTATTAAATTCTAATAATTTCAATTATGTCTAATAGCAAGTTCATAAAGAAAATCTACAAACCGAAATTCTTTCACCAGCTATTTGGTCATCAACCAGGAGAAAGTCTTGATTACCAATGGTTTTTGCCCATTGATTTGGATTTCTGCCAAAATGCCTTTGCCCTTACTCTATACATAGATTTACTAGAAGTTTTTAGATTCGGCATACTGACTGCTGTCTCAATGGTCCTGGGTACTTTCCCTATTTCCTCCCTGACAATTATACATCAAATTACGATTCGAATTTTTAAAATAACCGTTTGATAACTAAGAGAGCATTTCTATGAACCTGTACAAAGTTGAGGAATGCATTTACACAGTAAATCCCTAATTAGGACAATTTATAACTAAAAATTGGGTGTTTGCTAATATATAGTTATGTTATTGACCCTCATAGCAATATAATATAACAAACAGTACTACATGTTCATGTTGAGCACAATTTTCCTCTGTAGTTACTGCCGAGTCTATCGCAAATGAGTGTATGTAGTGTATAAAAAACGAAGCTAGATGAAATAAAAGGAACTAAAAATAATAAATATAATTATATAGTTATAAGTACAACAGAAATAAAATTCAATATATTGCAGGAAAATTAAATTTCTTTTGTTTTTAATTGTTATTTCGTGATTAATTTTTGTAGTTTTGCACGAAATCTTGGTATTTATAGCGATCCCATAATAGTTTTGTAATTTATCAATCACACTATCTGTTAACTTCCCTCAGCCCCTTCTTTACTTTTTTAATTTTCTCTTTCGAGACCTTACCCTCTTCTGGACATGGCCGATACATTCAAAATTTTTAACAGTATTCAAACCATAAATGTCCTTTACAGTTTTAAATCCTCTGGAGTCACCGTCCCCATAATATTCCGTATAGCGAAGCTGGCGTACTTCAGAGCTCTCAAAAATTCTGTAAGCACCGACAGACTCCATGCTACCTGCTGATCCCTCGTGATTCCGACATAGATGATTTTTCCTGTCTTTTTTTTCCACTTCTGCCCCATGATCGACAAAGCTGAGACATGACTTCCATGTCCAAAATTTTTCCTGTGTCAATTACTATGCAACTGATGTTCAGAGATGAATAGCCGAGTTTCTGCCAGGTTCCATCTAGGGAAACTCCACAGCTCACAACAGACTTTAGAAGTTTGACATCTAAGACTCCTAAATGTGCTTTTGGACATAAAAGGTAAATTTAGCAAACAGAACAATTTCCTTCCAGCAACGAAACCTTTCCCAATAGGTCGAAGAGCTAAAACTACCAAAGTACTAAGTTCTTATTTGTTCTTATTCTTTTTGCTCGGAGCAAATCCAGTAATAGAAGAACAGTTCTGGAACATTTCACAGAAAAATTGGAGCACAATCCAGTTCGTGAGTCTTCGGTCAAAGTAATATTGTTAGTCAAACAAACTGGGCAGTAAAGAACCATACTACTGACAAGACTCTTACTTCTTGAAATAAGGTCTTGTCCTTTAATTTTGATGTGCTTGCAGTTATAACATCATTAAACTTCGGCGTGTTTGATTGTAAGTTAGTGTACCGATTTCCAGTAAGCTTACCTTTTATTTTTGCTATATAATTCTTCCTTTGACCCATACTTGTCATACTTTAAAGTCAAGAAACAATATCTTTTAGATGAAAAAAAAAAGCTATAAATATTAATTTTCAAGAGCGAGATTCGATAACAAAATGGAATTGTAACCACTGATGCACACATAAACACTTTTTCCTATAATCAAAGTCGTCAATATTTTATAAACAAACTGAATACAAGAGTATCCTCCAGTCAGAATAAGAGAAAGAAAATGTACATACATACAAAGGGCAAGCTTAAAAATTGTAAAATTATGTATCAAAATCTTAACTACTTTCTACTCCTTCACGTAATTGACTACTACTGTATAGCCAGGCGCTTTAAAAGTTAGCATACGTTATTTCTAATTACCATTTAAATAGTATTTTCTTTTTTTTTTATAAATGGTTATATATGTAATAATTTTTAAAAAATGGTATCTTTTAGCCAAGAAGTGTTAAAACAAGACGGTAAGATTACNAAGTCAAAAATTAGTATTATTGATTAAAAAAAAAACAGGATATTTAGAAAATTAGGCTGTGACCTAATGTCACAGTTATATATGTAATAATTTTTAAAAAAAGGTATCTTTTAGCCAAAAAGTGTTAAAACAAGACGGTAAGATTACAATAAAAATACGGTAAATAAAAGCAATCTTTATTCTATAAAGTACTAATACAATAGCGTGTCTCAAAATAGAATCTCCTAGAATAAGTTTTCTAGAGAAAAGAGGTTCAAAATATAAAAATTAAAATTTTTCTTTGAGCTCTAAACTTGTAAAAAAAGTTTAAATTGTTATGCAATAAATTTCATAACACTTTTTGACGGAAAGTGCAATTCAATTTCTTTTAATCGATGCAATAAGCTTTTTATTTACTGTACTAACGCGATGCTGGCTTCTTTATTTATTAAAACTAGATCAGGTCTCAAATCCTGATGCAATTAAGAGCAAGACTTGGTTGCATTACCTAAAACAGTCTTGGGGCTCATTTTCATATACTTTTTTACTTCTTTCTAATCTAAATGTACAAAAATAAAAATTTTAGTATTTATTGATCTCTCGATTTACAAATAAAGAATCTCAATAATATGTTTCATCTGACTCATAAAATTTTGTTGATGGCCAATCTCGGTTGCAAGAAAAAGAAATCCTATCGATTTTGGGGAGCGTGGGTTTCAATTCTTGGGATTCCGCCGTCTGAGAGTGATAAGTTTCCAATTTAGAATTTGATACTTCATACTTACTGTTAGGTGAAACAAACTTACTTATCGGATAGGGTGCCAATTCTCATTAAAACAGCTCACCACAAGTTTTGGGCAAGATGATAGTAGCTTCTCGCATACATCTTGATATAGAGTTTCATATCTCGCATACATCCTGATATAGAGTTTCATTTCGCGCATACGCCATTTTCACCGAGAACTGTCTCGCATTCGTAACTTCCTCTTGAGTCAATTTCGTTTCATCACATGTTACCTACAAGTATATAGTATATTATCTGCAAGTATATAGTATATGCATATAATGCTTCGATTCATAAATCCTGCTCTCAATTTAAAGATTATCGGAAAGCAAAATTAGGCTTCTAAAAATCATACCAAAAGACCGAAGTCTAATGAAAACTTTTGAATTATTGAGTTAAGTCATATGAAATGAAATATTCAAGTGAAATTTATTGGCTAAGATCTGTAATCAAATGTGTAGGTTTCTAATTTGTTGACTTGCGTTCAAAATGTCTTTCTTAGTACATTTGGAAATGTTCTATTACATTGGCGTTTAAATTAGTATACCTCTTTATTTATTCTCCAATAAGGTTTAGATTGAAACATAAATTTCATTACGGCTTAGATAAATTTGAGATCAGATAAATGACAACAAGTTATCAAAATTGTCTTTAGTCTAGCAAATTTTTAAGTCCAGATATTTAAAAAAAAATGCAACAAAACTTCTAAATTATAGTTTTAAAAAAATACTTCACCGGTTAAAAATTTAATAAGGTTTTTTGACAAATTTGTCAAAAATGTTCACACTACCCTATTACTTTTTTCGATACCACACGGCTGATAGTTAACTGTGCGAATACTGTCGAATTTTCTGGTCCATGTATAAAATATTGTTAAGAAAATATTTCACGGGAGTCGCGAGTGATAACAAGCAAGGACTGCAGAACCCTATCACAAGAAAGATGTTTATGCAATTGCCTAGTATATATTATGTAAATTCAGTCAGAGGAATGATACGAATGCAAAAGAGAAAAATCCTTTTTAATTATCTTTTCAATTATCTAAATTTTTTACCTCAACGCTTATTTTTTTTTTCCATGTTTAAAATATGGCATGGTACACCTCTCTTTCAAATGTCCGGAGTGAGTGTAATGGACAAATGGCTAGCGAAGCGTGATCAAATTTCTCCTTAAACACTCCCCTTTCTTTATTCAAAGCAGTTTGTAGTCACTAAATTAAAAAAAGTAGTCAAAAACTGCTCTAGTAATGGTGTAATAAATAGTGAAATAATGTAGTTTTTACACATACTTTGAACAGATTACCTTGAACGAAAGTCATAATAAGAAGTTATACAAGACATTTATGTAGATAATACTTTTAAATGCGTGAAACATATCAGATATACTAAGGAGGAGAAACATAACTTATATATCATATCGACAAAACTGTTAGAATATATTGAAATACCTTTTTTTTTTTAAGCTTTTTCAGGAGATGGAAATCTAAAAATCTTATCCTTATTGTGCTCAAAAAGCGTTGGTCCATTTGCTTTTAATCCATCTTTGAAATGGCACTGGCATATCACATGATTTTTCGAAATTTGAATATCATCTCTCCTATAAAGCAAATTATAATTCTTTACTATTATGCAATTAAAATAACAAAAAAAATTTGAAGTTATATTAAGTTGTAATTAATTTACCTTATATTCCTAATCCATATTTATTGCACCTTTGGATCAGCAGGTGTTCGAAAAATGCGACAGGTGTCTCTCTGGTTATAATGTTTACAACCAGGGGCAATACACATAACCATTTTCAATCCTTTAAATAAATCATCAATAAATTACGAACATATGTTACATTCAACAAAAATTTAAAGTCCATATTCGTGAGTAATGTTTAACAAATTTACATACATACATAATATCATCTAAATTAAATTTATTAGGCTTTATTAAAAATTCTACATATACAAAGAAGATTTCAATTTTGTTTTTTAATTAAAAAGTCTATGTTCTATTACATCATAAACATTTAAATTGTGAGACACATTTAATGGAATGGATAGGAAAATTCATATAATTAAAAATAACCTATATAAATATACTGCAGGAAAAAGTTGAAAGAAAAAAAATTCGCTTTTTTTTTCATTTATTTCAATCAATAATGCATGATTAAATTAATAAAGGCACCTTAACACAGTCAACAAAACGACCTCAATATATTTCTTTACATTACAAAAAATTTAAAAAAGTAGAAAGAAACTCATAATTAGCCTTAAAGAAAAATTAATGTTAAAAGTTGTAACTGCTTTCCACGCCATGTTTAACAAAAATGACAAATATAATATGTTTGTATATACATATGAACCTGTCGAAATGTAAACAAAACTTAAATCACAAGGCTTAGCAATCAGCATTAAATAAAAACGTTTCTATTAATATTAACTAATTTTTTCAGACTCACACCTTCTTAATTTAATAATATGAACTGTTTCTTACCAGAAAAATCCGTTTTCTACTAAAAGAAATCTATTTTTTTATAAAAATACTTGAACACACTAAGAAGCCTATTGAAATAGCATTAAGCTGTGCACAAGCGAGGTTTGTTAGGATACGGTCAGAAGAGGGGGGCGCCACCACTATATCTCCATATACATAATCTGCCTAAGTCTAAAAATTACTGGCAAACACATGTGGTGTTTACATAAAATTATATATATATATGTCATAATCATTGTCATGCCGTGACACACGCAAAAGGTATTTTATTTTATATAATGCTTAGATATGTAAAGCAAGAAAATAAGAACTGTAAAATATCTCAATAGGTATGGGCAAAATATTTTTTAAATAGGCATGTGAAATAAAATTAATAAATGTTTATTATGAAATAAAAATGTTTAAAAAAATAACGTTTTCAACATACTATTACCATCTTCTACCAAAAATATGTAGCAAGTTAATCCCAGGTCAATCAGCTTGTAAGTTCCATCAAAAAATAATATCTCAGGGTACATATCATTTCCTTGTCTTGGATAAAAAGTCCTTCCAGAACGCGATTCCTTTTAGAATATCTACTGAACGTTTGTGAGTTGTTTCTAAAATATTCACAATTTCAAACAGTTTCTTATCTGGAGTTTTATACTTTGCAGCCATATTTGATAAGTCTTTCAGTAGAACTATCTTATCTGTTTTACTCATCAGGTCTGCCTGAAGATGTTTCTTATTTGCCTGCACTTTTAGCACGTGTGCAGCGAAGGCTTTGAATGTGTACTGGTAAACGTCTTTTGGAGGCATGCATTTTGTATATTTTTTCACTTATTTTATGATTTCGCTATTTCAAACAGTTTCTTATCAGGAGTTTTATATTTTACAGCCATATTTGATAAGTTTTTCAGTAGAACTATCCTATCTGTTTTACTCATGAGGTCTGCCTGAAGATGTTTCTTATTTACCTGTACTTTTAGCATGTGTGCAGCGAAAACTTTGAATAAAAGCTGACTGCTACTGTAAAAATGTCAAAAAGCCAAATTAAAGTGAAAATAATTTATTACTAAAATATTCTGGCACTGAGTACAAAACTTTTTAAAAAAAAAATTTTCATTTATACAGTTGATTTATTTATTTATAGTGCATTTGTTTTTATTTTCTTCCTTAATTTTATCCAAAAAAGCTTAAATTGCATTACATTAAGTATGTTATACATTATGTTGACAATGTTAAAATTTCAAGTTTCACACTAGATATTATAAATAATTCATTATAAGTTATCTATTATAGCATGTTCATGAATATGTTTAATAGAAGTTCAAGTACTAAATTATTATTTCAATTATTATTATTAAACGATTCATAATTTGTAAAACATTTGTGGAAAAAAACACTAGTAAATATGCTCAAGTAAAAATAAATGCATTTTTATGTTATATAAATTCTTGTAAAATAATTTTATACATTACTTTAAAAACGCTGTATCAAAAAATTGCAAGCAATAGAAATATTTTACTATAAAAAAAAAATTAGAAATGTCACGACTTACACGCGAGTACATTCTTCTATGCATTACTTTTGTTTTCAATGTATTGAAATTTATAAACGTTCTAAATCAGCATAATAATTTTCAGTCTAGAAGAAACAAATAACGCATAGCAGAGATTGAAATTGTGATAAAAATATTAGATGTAACACACACACACACAAAAATCCAACTTAAAACAGTCCAGCACCATAGCTGGATTTGAGAGGATTTTTTGGGGCACTATCTTCCTCAAGCTTCTCTTGCCTTTTTTCCTTTATTTTTTTTTTGGTTTGCACAGGGAAAGCATACTTATAAGTAATTCATAACTAATCGTAAAGTAAAAAAATATGATGTAACAGATTGTTTGTATTCTTACAGAAACAGAATACATGAATTATAATAAATTTGGAAAATAGAGCAGGTTAATAAATCCAGTAAATAAAATACATAAATCAGTGAAATGGTTTAAAGGGTGAAGAAAAAAAACCTGGCTAACTAATTACAATTTTAGTATGAATTGTTGCAATTACAATATAATATTATCATTGGTACGAAATAATATCAATATTAAAATTAAGGGTTAATCAATTAACAAGATATAAGTGGCTGGAAGGAAAAAAAATGAACACACAAAAAAAAAAAATAGTAAACTTCCATACCATGATACAATAACTATTTTTCCTACACCCTGAATAATAAATCCAAGGAGATGCCATAGAGAAAAAATGAAAACGTGTTAATGATCATACTCATCTTAAAAAGAACTCAATAAAACAAATTTATATATAAATGATTTAATATAAATTTCAACAGATGACAGAAGAAAAAAAAGTTTTTTTAAGAATCAATAAGCAAAGTACACACATCTATGAAATAAATTATAGTAGATCCAGGTAGGCGCCAGAAAAATTTGCTTATACTAAAGACAAAGATGAACCCAATAAATTAATTTACAATTTTGATTTAAGAAAATAATAACATAAAAAAATCAGATATAAACAAAGAAAGGTATCATCGTGATTGTATTTTTATGAACATAAAACTATTTAATTAAAAAAACATACGACTATTTTACATTTTTAAAAACTTATAATTTGGATTATTTTCTATATTTTTTTTGTTTCATTAACTTTGTGCACATCAATGCAATTGGAGCGATCACAAAGAGAAAAAAAAATTCTTGTGATTAAGAAAAAATTAACAATGAGGACAGTGTCTGTGGGTGTTGGTGGTTCATCAGATCCTCCAGATTATCATATACTTCATTCAATGTATTGATATTGATCGTGGACATTGCTGTGTTCTCTAATAAAGAGATGCAGTTAAATAATTCCTCTGAGGGAAGCAATAACCCACCATGAGATTGTAATTTTATCAATTCAGCATAGAAAGGATTAACATCTTAAGAAATTAGGCTGTCTAAACATACTTTTTTCCCTTTCTGGAAACATAGCCAGCAAAATATACTTTATTCTCAAATAATGTATACATAGATTATCATCAGAATTAATGTTGTTATAGGAATGATCGTCTAACGATGACAATTGTGTCTGAGTTTCCGCCAGGTTACCATTACCTTCGATAAGTGTGTTCAACTGAATCATCCATTCTCTTTTTTTATTTTGAGGAATCTAAATCGGTGACAGTCTGAAAGTCAATCAAACTTTGCAGGAGGTTGCCTCCACTAATGTTGGAACCTTTTCTTGACTTTATTAGTGAATACGTTCCTACTAAGCGGAAAATCTGTAAAGATACAGTGGAGCTTGGGTGATCGTTGTAGCCATGGTTCCTTGGGGTATTAATCCTCTTTTCCTTCTATAGTTCTTTCTTTTTTCCCTTTTTTCTTTTTCCTTTATTTCAATCGCTTTATTTCGTTATTCACAGATATATTTTAAAACAAAAGGATTCACTAAAATAAAAAGTCTTGTTTTTCATTAACGCTTCATATGTAATTAAAATTAAATAAATATGTGTTACAAAATTTTTTGCAAAATAAATTCATCACATGTTTTAAAATGCTTTAAGACAGGGAAAAAATTATATATCACATTTACCCATTGTAGCTTTCTGATTATGTCATTTTAATTATAAATATTTCCCACGTATTTTATTTCCTCAAATCTAGCTACATACTTCGCAAGAAGGCAATTAAAAAATTTCGCTAGAATTATGTAAAAATTATTCGTTTAGGTGTAAACAAATTACTTAAGTAGTTTGTTTGTAATGACGTACAGGGGTGTGTTGCCGGATCAAACTCCTAGATAAGAAGGATATGAAAAGAATAGTGTAATAATGTAATCTCTAGGAGAGGAGATTTTATTAAATAAAAATGAAAAATTTGGAATACATTAAGAGAAAATTTTATTTCAAATTTATATATGTATGTATGTGTCTATTCATAAATGCAGGAGTTTGACAAAATGATTGAGACACTTCGATACTAACACATTTTTTAATATTTAAAAAATAAATACCTAGAGAATCAGTTCATAAATTTAAAAATTATAATCCCGTTGATCACAGATGGGAGCTTCCATTTCTCTCCATTGAAAAAATCTTTCTGCAGGTACTAGCGGCAAAGCCGCAATTCTTCGTATCTTGATATGTTCTCGGATCATTTTTGTAGGCTGGCACCAGACCTAAATTTTGTATCTGGAAGAAATATTTGCATTTAAGAGTTTGCCTTCAAATGTTTTAAAACAATTTATTTATCTTAATCTATGATTTAAATTTTTAAGTTATAAGATTCATTTACAAATTTCGGTCATTTACGTAAAGAAGAATACTAATTAAAATTTTAATTTATAAATGGCTAATATTTTTGGATTGATAGATTAAAAATTGACTTCTTGAAATATGCTATGTTATATCAAATCAATGCTAGCGTTTATCCGAAAACCTTAGTCTCAAATGTTGCATGTCTGTATAACGCAGAAGTACCAAAAAATATACATCGAGCATAGCATGAAAAAAGTTTTTGAAAAAGTGCATAGGACTTCTTTTTATATTAAGATAATTTTTAATTTAAATGAGTTAAAAATTGAACATTATACCGTGCATTTTAGCATATGTTTTTGACATCTGAATTTAATCCATCAACATGCATTATAATAGGCTGGNATTATAGTAGATCCAGGTAGGCGCCAGAAAAATTTGCTTATACTAAAGACAAAGATGAACCCAATAAATTAATTTACAATTTTGATTTAAGAAAATAATAACATAAAAAAATCAGATATAAACAAAGAAAGGTATCATCGTGATTGTATTTTTATGAACATAAAACTATTTAATTAAAAAAACATACGACTATTTTACATTTTTAAAAACTTATAATTTGGATTATTTTCTATATTTTTTTTTGTTTCATTAACTTTGTGCACATCAATGCAATTGGAGCGATCACAAAGAGAAAAAAAAAAAATTCTTGTGATTAAGAAAAAATTAACAATGAGTCTGTGGGTGTTGGTGGTTCATCAGATCCTCCAGATTATCATATACTTCATTCAATGTATTGATATTGATCGTGGACATTGCTGTGTTCTCTAATAAAGAGATGCAGTTAAATAATTCCTCTGAGGGAAGCAATAACCCACCATGAGATTGTAATTTTATCAATTCAGCATAGAGAGGATTAACATCTTAAGAAATTAGGCTGTCTAAACATACTTTTTTCCCTTTCTGGAAACATAGCCAGCAAAATATACTTTATTCTCAAATAATGTATACATAGATTATCATCAGAATTAATGTTGTTATAGGAATGATCGTCTAACGATGACAATTGTGTCTGAATTTCCGCCAGGTTACCATTACCTTCGATAAGTGTGTTCAACTTAATCATCCATTATCCTTTTTTTATTTTGAGGAATTTAAATCGGTGACAGTCCTAAAGTCAATCAAACTTTGCAGGAGGTTGCCTCCACTAATGTTGGAACCTTTGGGGGGCTTTATTAGTGAACACGTTCCTACTAAGTGGAAAATCTGTAAAGATACCGTGGAGCTTGGGTGATCGTTGTAGCCACAGGCATGCCTCATTATTCCAAAAAACCTCTGTAAGAAATCCATACAGTATCTTAAAAATTCATTTTTCTCATAATTCATGGCAAATATACTTGCAAATAAAGAGAAGTACCTCGAGAGAATCTTGATTAAATCTATATGTCATAACATAAACATAATTGCAACTATCAATCATGAAACGTGACAACTCTAGAGTGGCTTTAAGAGTGACAATCAAGCCAGAATATGTCGAGTGAAGAATAAAATGATAATTCCTCTCCCTCGTGAGGCGCTCCCACTCAACAGGATATTCAATAAAACTTTGAATTTCCTAAAACTATAACTTCAGTGTAAGATACAGTTTATTTTTAAAGCCATTTTGCAATATAATAAAAATCCTGCCTTTGAAATACCTTAAAAGCTTTGGATTGTAACCTTATAGCTGATGACGGCCCCCTAGAATTCATGGCATCAATGAGCCGATCAATACGCTGCACGAAGGTAACACATCCTTCACTTCCAGCAAGTTTGCTGTTACGAGTTTTAAAATGCTGCATTTCCAGCTGCTAAAAAACTGAATTAAAGAAAATTAGTTTAGTCAAGATGAGTTCATTTTTAAGAAAAAATGCTCTCAAAATTGAAACCAATTGCTTTTTTATTTCCTAAATTGGCTCTCAATTTGTATAAGAAATTGATAAAAATACTGCACTAAAATGAAAATTTCTTTTTTATAAATGCATTGTGTTTAAACTGAAAATAATTGATCTTAAAAAAACAATTTGGCAATCCCTACGCCAAAATATCAGATCGTGAAAAACTAAAAACAGAAAGAGACTACTAACAAGGATTATTACCTGAAAAGCCATTGCCACACTCATCGTTTGAAAATGCTTGGGCCTAACATGGTCAGCAGTCAGCTTGGTACAAACCTTCAAGTTGTAATGGTTTGATTTGTCACTTTCCACAACAGCATCCCAAAATTTCAAAGACACTGGTCCATCTGGTGTTTAAAATTTCATAATATTTCTTAAAAGTAAATCTTCATTTTTAATTGTAATATTTGAAAAAAATTTGTAATATTTGAAAAAAATGGACAATATTTTAAAATGTCATATAATTAAAAAAAAAAGGGGGGGGCTACTCATAATATTCAATATAATGCTAATTTCTGGATTTAGTTTTAAAAAAACGAAGAATTATTACCATTGTATTTATGTTCTAACTATAGCATTTCTAAAACATTTTATAAGGTGTGGGAAGTCTGACATGAACCACATCTGTCTTGTCTGACCACATATGTGTTCACAGCTATTGTCCATCGTGATGCCAAATTTGTGCCACATGCTCCGATTTCAAGAGGCGCCTTCAGTTGTGACATTATGGACATAAAAGTTGGTATTCTCAAGTAGCATAACACACTCTATAATCAAATGGTGAAGTACAGAGCCTAAATAAGGAAAATACGAATCTGAGTTGATCAGCTTTATGTTAGTAAATAAGAAGCGCTTAGCTCTTACATTTTACATTGAATCATATTTAAAAATAAAGCTTATATGCGGCATTTTTGCTCAAAAAACATGAAATGGATTGTACCCAATTTCCTCTAAAAGGCTGTAACATCATAACTAGCGCGTGATCGCCTTTTTGTTATTTTTGCCGCTCAGGAGTATACTTCCCAAGATCTGTGAAGCCATGGATTTCAAGGGTTTCAGTGCTAAAAACCAAAGTTGGTGACAATTTCATTTCGTCTATCAATTATGAACCTAACGAATATTAGAAAAGAAATCATGAATTGTTTAATGTTAACCACAATTATTGGTTTCCTTACATTATGGTATGAAAATAATATTACCTCTCCTATCATTGGGATCCATTTTTGAGGTTTTTTTACTAAAAACTCCAAAAATGTCTTCTTGAAATTCATAACATCCTTTGAGTTTCTTTAAATATTTCGTCAAGATAATAGCAGACTGTAATTGGAGTATCATATGCTCCTTAAGATGTTTGTATATCTTGGAACATTTAATTATTTATAAACTAAAAAACGTAAAATAAAGAATTCTTGCGAAACAAGAAAAAAATGATTCTAAAAATTCTTCACATTAAAATAAAAAAAACTTTCATGTTTCTTTTTGCTTTTTTTTGTTCATAATCGGAAGTGGAAAACCATTCTATAGAAAATTATCATCAAATAAGAAATATAAATTTTTATTATAAAAATTGCAACACTTACCTGCTTTATAAATCCAGAGAATTCCAAAATGATATGTTCTTCATTTGAAAACTGTATTCTCAAATAATATATACATAGATTATCATCAGAACTAATGTTATTGGAATGATCGTCTAAAAATGGCAATCGTGTTTGAGTTTCCGCCAGGTTACCCTTACGTTCGATAAGCTCCATTCTCCTTTTTTGATTCCGTGAAAATCAATCAAGCNATCATCAATAAATTACAAACATATGTTACATTCAACAAAAATTTAAAATCCATAATCGTGAGTAATGTGTGTGAATCCATAATCGTGAGTCATATAAATTTACAAATAAAAATCTTTATTATAAAAATTGCAACACTTACCTGCTTTATAAATCCAGAGAAGTCCAAAATGATACGTTCTTCATTTGAAAACTTTATTCTCAAATAATATATTCATAGATTATCATCAGAATTAATGTTATAGGAATGATCGTCTAAAGATGGCAGTCGTTGAGTTTCCGCCAGGTTACCCTTACGTTCGATAAGCTTAATCATCCATTCTCCTTTTTTGATTAATTTAATTCTGTGAAAATCAATGAAGCTTTGATGGAGATTGCCTTCCCTAATGTTGGAACCTTTGAGTGACTTTATTAGCGAATACGTTCCTACTAAACGGAAAACCTGTAAAAATACAGTGGAGCTTGAGTGATGGTTGGAGCCACAGGCATGCCTCATTATTCCTAAAAACCTCTCTAAGAAATCCTTACAGTTTAAAACATTTATCTTAAAAAATCATTTCGCACGTAATCCATAGCAAATATACTTGTAAATGAAAAATAAAAAAAGAACCTCAAGGAAATCTTGATTAAATCCAGATGTCATAACATTAACATAATTGCAAGTACCAATCAAGAAACGTGACAACTCTAGAGAGGCTTTAATAGTGACAATCAAGCCAGGATAAGTCGAGTGAGGAATAAAATGATAATTCCTCTCCCTCTTGAGGCGCTCACACTCAACAATTCAATGAAACTCTGAATTTCCTAAAATTATAACTTCAGTGTAAGATACAGTTTATTTTTAAAGCAATTTTGCAATATAATAAAAATCCTGCCTTTGAAATACCTTAAAAGCTTTGGATTGTATCCTTAAAGCTGATAACGACACCCTAGAATTCATGGCATCAATGAGACAATCAATACGCTGCACGAAGGTAACACATCCCTCACTTCCAGCAAGTTTGCTGTTACGAGTGTTAAAAATGCTACATTCCAGCTACAACAGAGCTGCTGAAAAACTGAATTAAAGAAAATGAGTTTATTCAAGATGAGTTCATTTTTTAGAAAAAATGCTTTCTAAATTAAAATCAATTGCTTTTTTAGTTCCCAAATTGGCTCTCAAATTGTATAAGAAATTGATAAAAATACAGCACTAAAATGAAAAGTTCTTTTTTAGAAATGCATTGTCTTTGAACTGGAGATAATTGATTTCTAAAATAACAATTTGGCAATCCCGACGCCAAAATATCAGATAGTGAAAAACTAAAAACAGTAAGAGACTACTAACGATGATTATTACCTGAAAAGCTATCGCCACATTCATCGTTTGAAAATGCTTAGGCCTAACGTGCAGCAGTCAGCTTGGGACAAACTTTCAAGTTGTAATGGATCGGCTTGTCACTTTCCACAACAGCATCCCAAAATTTCAAAGACACTGGTCCATCTGGTGTCTAAAATTTCATAATATTTCTTAAAAGTAAATCGTCATTTTTAATTCACTATTCAGTGCTAAAAGCCAAAGTTAGTGACAATTTCATTGCGTCCAGCAATAATGAACTTAACGAATATTCAAAAAGAAATCATGAATCGTTTCATACTAGCCACAATTATTTGTTTCTTACATTGTAGCATCAAAAGTATTACCTCTCCTATCATTGGCATCCATTTCTGAGGATTTTTCCCTTAAAATTCCAAAAATGGCTTCTTGAGATCTGTAACATCTTTCGAGTTTCTTTAAATGTTTCGTCAAGGTAGTAACTGACGGTTAATTAGAGTATCTTACGCTCCCTAAGATGTTTGTATGTCTTGGAACTTTTCATTATTCATACATTAAAAAACGTAAAATAAGGAATGCTTTCGAAACAAAAAAAAAAAAAAAAACGATTCTATAAATTCCTCACTTTAAAATAAAAAACTTTCTTGTTTCTTTTTGCATTTTTTTGTTCATAATCGGACGCAGAAAACCATTCTATAGAAAATTATCATCAAATAAGAAAGAAAAAAATTTTTATTATAAAAATTGCAACACTTGCTTTATAAATCCAGAGAATTCCAAAATGATATTTCATCTTCATTTAATTTTTATCAGCAGACATTCATATATCCATCCTGATAAGTGTAGCGCATGCCAAATTTCTCACACCTTGCAGCCTGCAAGCCATTGGCGTCGTCAGATAAAATTTATTGGGGGGGGGGGACCATACTTAGACTTTTATTTTTCAAGTCTATAGTTCCGGAGAAAAAAGCAATCCGAAAAAAAATGACAAAAATTTTAAAAAGATTCGGAAAATAAAAGATATGATCTTTTCATCAGCTCACACGATTATATATTCACAAAAAAGAGTGCTTTCTAACATTGTATCAATATGTTTTCTCAATTTTCTTCGCTTTTTTTGTATTTATTTAATCTGCTATATCCATATATATATACAAAAAACGAAGAAAATTGAGAAAACATATTGATACAATGTTAGAAAGCTCTATTTTTTGTGAATATAATCAAATTTGTGGAAAATTTCAAAACAAAATTTCACTCACACTAATTACCTGTTGAGAAAGTAGAGAGCCATAATTTTTTCTTTTTGTAGAAGATATTTTTCCTGCCCTCTGTAAGCAAAATACGTACAATTATCTTCTTATACATACATAATTAAATGCATTGGCGTCGTCAGATAAATTTTATTGGGGGGGGGGCCATACTTAGGCTTTTATTTTTCAAGTCTATATTTCATTTTTTAGTTCATATATATATATATATAGCATAATAAATAAATACAAAAAACGCGAAGAAAATTGAGAAAACATATTGATACAATGTTAGAAAGCACTCTTTTTTGTATAATCAAATTTGTGGAAAATTTCAAAACAAAATTTCACTCACACTAATTACTCACACAAACCCTTTTATAGGGCGGATCACATTCGCACAATCACGCACACAAAGGAGAAAGGACATAGAACACGCAGAGAGGGAAAGAAACGTCCATGCCCTGAGCACGATTCGAACCCGGGACCAGTCAGACACGCTAACCACTCGGCCACCTGGCCGGCCTACTCTAAAGTTACAAAAAATTAAAATATGAAAAATTTGATTTCGATTCGAAAAAAGTCAGTAGGCTTGTTTTTTCTTAAAAATTCTGGGTTTCCTACATTATACAATTCCTTATAGGCATATATATAACTAAAACAGAAAGAAATTTAATTTCATCTGTTCAAAAATAAAAATTACTTTAGCATAAAGGTCTTTGTTTACAATTAACCACCTCTCCAGACTATCATCATTCCAAAAGAGAAATCCAGTTGATTACTCAAAAAAATATGTCCAACCTTTTCTAAGAAAACGACTGCTGTTATCTTTCAAGTGCGGAAAGTCAAATGGTACACAATCAAGTGGCTGGGAAGCTGAAGCTATATCTATAAAAATGTTTCATATAAATATTAAAACTAAAATATTTTATTTGCAAAAAAATAATCTATTACCAGCCGGAATATTTCAGTTGCAAGCGACATCACTTCCTAAAATCATAAAACAAATTTCAAAAATTATTAAGATTGATAATATGTGGTTTTTAAATAATAATTTGAAATACATAATATCATATTAAATGTAGCAATTTCCCCTAAATTGAAATGAAACAGTCAAAGCTTTACATTGATGACCAATATTTACAAAAATAAATATCAGCAGCAAACATTAGATTTTCAACTATGCAGAGTTGCACAGACGGGTAAAAATTATTGCACACTAAGTAAATAAAATAACGAAATTCAAATCTTATATAAAACTAGTGGGCTGCGCCCCCTGCTCGCTGACGCTCGCCAACCCCCGAAAATCGCTACGCAATCTTATATGGTTTGCTTCGCTCGCTACTAACTTAGGTACAAAATTCTAAGAATTCAAAACAATCATTCAAATCCAGATAAAAACTTTTTTTTTTAAAAAAATTACATCTTTTTAGTAAATACTAAGTCATTAAAATAAATTTGAATTCAAATAAATGACATGTTGTTCCTATTAGAAATATGCTATAGTATAATTCGTGATATAAATCAAAAGTCGTCAAACAAATTCGTAATATATAAATTCGAGAAAAAAAGCGCTTTCGACAAAATACTGAAATAGAGATTTATCGGCAAAGAATACTCACTTCTGCCGAGCCTAATAGTATGAGATTGCCGCAGCTGATGCTCTCTGGTTATTTCAGTTTCCGTTTTTAAAAGCGCTGAGCCACCTCATCTAGATTAAGCATGTGACATTTTTAGCGGCAATCATTGGTTGATTTTCTAGCGTTGCCATTCGGGGAGTTGTAATGAGGCTTTTTTTGTCGCCGTGTAAGAGAAATAGTAACGTAAAGAAAACGTTGCCACCGGCGGAAAAGAAATACAGGCAAAATTTGGGAGCCAAGTAAGAGAATTATATATTAGATTAATCATATAAACTCACTTGAATCAGTTGGTTTTAAAAGATACAATGCATCAATAGAAGGGGCACTTTCATTTAAAATAAAATTAAACAGTTAGAACTTTTTTGATTGCATTATATGATTTTTATTGTAAATCATAACTGTAATGCAGTATAGTACGTAATTTAACTTCTGTTAAAAAGAATATTATCTCAGTTTTTTAACAGCTCTCAACAATTTATTACAGTTTTCGGCACTTATTAATAATTTTTTGATGCGTCTTTCCAAAAACCAGTTTTTGACCTCATAAACTCAACCCTTTTGCTAATTAAAAATTTATTTTGTTACAAACACAGAGATGCCAACTGCTCCGGACACGCCAAAATAATTAAAAAACGGTAAATAACAACAAAGTAAATTTCGCATATATTTGACTATTTTTGTTTGCTTTTTAAAAGGTATAGGTATAGCATGACATAAGTACTGACTTGATAAGCCTACGAATTATTTAGAAATAGTGGTGGATAAAAGTCTACTAAATTGAATTTATTAAACCAGGAATCACAATTTATAAACTACCACTTTAAAATATATATTTGCTGTCTGGAGCAAGTTGGCATCTCTGCAAACAGAAAAATAATTACTACCAAAAAGTTGTACAACGTCTGTAAATGCTGAGTTCATATCTGAACCTGGAATATTAATACACATTAAAAAATAATGAAATTAAATGTTTTTTTCTCTCTTTTTAAATGCTATTCCCACTCACCAGAGGTTATCAAATTGGAGTAAGATGTTAAATTCTGTGAATCAACAGATTTATCAGAAATATAAAAAATTAATTCCTAGTACTTATGGGGCGAAATAAATATCAGGACATGTATTTCTTAACCAAGAAAATGAAAATATGTACCAGTTATAGCTTTATTTCTTGAAGTAGGTTTCCTTTTTCTCTTATTCGATGAGAGATATTTGGAAGGGGTTGCAGAAGGTTTCAATCTAGGCCGTTCCCTTTCTTGCTTCCAAACCTAGAAAAACACATTTTGATATGAAGCATTCATATTATATCTTAACGATTGACATATCATTACATAGGCCAAAAATAACTGACTTGAAACTTACCCCTCCAGGTAATGTAACTTGATAATGGGTTTCGATATTATCTTCACGAAAGTGCAAAACGTAAACATGAGTAGTGGATTTAAGCATCCTACCTGCACGAGGAATTGCTTTTTGACACTTTTCAGGAAGATTAATATCCTTAAAAAAATAATACAAATAAAGTGAGTATGGCTAAATTTAAATTGACTTATCGGATAAATGCAAGAAATATTATCTTTTTTAGAATAATTTTAAAAAAATTATAAAAAACAAATCATCTGGAACAATCGTGAAGAATTAATGACTAGGTTTAATAACATTAACAATTATTTAATTAAGGATTGGTTAAGTAATTTACATGTTATTACGTGTTTAGAATTTCAGACAAGATAAATTGTAAAAAACCATCTCCGAATTTTTTTAAAAATAGTTTAATGAAGCTTGCATTTGAGCAGCTTTAGAGAGGAAACGTCTTTAAAAATTAACCATTGCCAGAAAACGTCGCAATTCTGAAACTGTTTTTTGGTTTTGGCTATTCACGTATTATTTGAACCTTTTCCGGCAGAGGTTTTACACCTGAAGGGGTAACTAAACTGCCCGGAAAAATTTTACAGAGGTTTGACCTAGACCACATTTGGACCCGGTTAACCTTAAACCGTGTTGTTGAAGACGCTGAAAAATTAGACGAAGATGTGTTTTATATGTTCGTCTACATTACTCTACGCAACTAAGAGGTCGTCAAAGTACGGAATACAAAAATCTAAATCAGATAACACTTGGTGAATATATCGTTGGAATGTTTGGCCGGCGTTCCGTAAACCAAAGAGCATGTAACCAAAGGGCTCACTCGAAACCAAAGGGCTCACTCGAAGAGGCCGAAAGGGGTCGTGACGGCAGTCTTCGGAATATTTTGTGGAAAGACTAGAATTTGGTTATAAGCTCGAGTAAGATCGAAAATATGTACAGAATAGAGAAATCAATTAAAACAGAAAAAAACATTAATAAAACATCTGAAGCTACACATACGCTATTACATATATGCTAAACTATTCTTTTGTTTTTGGCTTCTTGTTAAAAAAAAGTTGTGATTAAAGAATCTTTTTTTTTCTCAAGTTCTTTTTCGAGGGTATCAACAATCTTACGTTTATTACTTCCCTCTTCTTTAGATTTCATTGCACCTTCAATCATGCTTTGTGCAATTTTAGCCTCTGTAAAATCCCCTTTATCGAGAGCTTTCTTCAATCGTTTATTGGCTTCTCCAAGAAGTTTATCAGTAACTTTGATCTGAAGATTTTCCTCCTTTTTCACAGCTTTCAACTCGGTTGATAAACTTTTAATGTCTTGTTTGTTCCTATTTAATTTCAAAAGACTTTCTTCTGCTCCTTTTTTCAAGTCATCAGCCTCTTTAATTTTTCTTGCTTCTTCCTCTTTTTTTTTTTCTTTCCTGTTCAATATAGTTATAGCTTTTATAAGCTACACTAGCTAAATTGAGGAACTTTTTTGTCACAGGAACTACTTCTGGTTTATTTTTATATACTTTAAGAGCATCGCTAACAGTCAATCTTGCATTTAACATCCGAATTGACATGGAGGCTCTATCCTCAGTCATTATTCTAGCTGATCTAGAAAATCCTCGCTCCACATCTGCACTACCGTGGATAAGAGTTAATGCTGGTTTAATTACTTTGCTAAGATTAGTGTACTTTAATTGATCTTTCAGCAAAGTGTTCCAATAATGGTCTATCCGACCATCACATTGCTTAATGTCTTCTAATTGCAATAACTTCCACTCATCAATGAGGTGATCGGTATTTACTTCTATGGGTAATAAACTAGCAATTTTCACAATATCCTTCAAACTTTGAGGATTCTTGATCTTCTCAGGTTGCATACAACCTAAAGCTTCTAAAACTCCATTTCCAGTGACAATTCTCTTTTTTAAAATGTAATCTCCAGCAGCAACATAGTGCTGTCTAGCACGTAAAGTAAAATTGTCTCTTTCATTTTGTGAAAGTGATGACAGGCAGCTTAAAAGTGATTCGTTGAAAAAAATATCCTTTCCTTTCAACAAATTTTCTGCTTTGAAAGCATCTAGGCTCGGTTCTTGCCTGAATTCTGTTACAGCTTCTGTTTTGCAAACGCGTCCCATTATAGTTAATAATAACTCCTTGATTTCATCAAATAACACGTGTATTAATGGCTCTTCTTTTTGAAATAAACCTGTGAATTTAGTGAATAATGAAGAGCTTGTGCAGATAAAATTCAACTCAGCTCTCATACTTTTCTTTTGCAAGAAAGATAAAATTTTTTTGTAACTGATTGTGGCCATTAGTCTTGATTGTTTTGATGGAATATAATTTAAAAAATACTCCACAATCGCATCCCACTGCTGCAGAACTCTGTTTGCAGCAGGTTCGAGAGTGAGCCACCTTGAAGTCACGTGCTTAAGGAAATGCAAGTTTGGCACTTTCTTCTTCATTTGGATGTTGGAAAAGTCTTCCCAGCGGGATGGCCAGTCTTGGAAATAGTTAAAAAGGCCAATAATTAAATCTGATGCATCGCATCCTAGTTCCCCCAACCCCTTTTGAAATGCATTATGCATGATATGAATATTACAGAAGCCTACATCAAACAGCCCTTCATTTCGAACCAATTTCATTTCTTCATTGATCAGTCTAAATACCTTTTTATTAACATTTGGCCCATCACTTCCTAACATTAATATCTTACAAAGAGGCAGGTTTGCATTGTCTAAACATTTCAAAATGTTTTTCTTTATGTCTTCTGCTGTGGCATGCCCCATGCAAACACTCTCCAGATGTTTTGTGCACACTTCTCCTGTGGATTCCGACCAAAATCTTATTAAAATTTGCAGTTCTTTCTGTCCCGCATTGTTGGTTGTCTCATCATACTGAATTGAAAAGAAAGCTCCCTGTACTTCTGTTAAAAGCATTTCTTTAAAATACGGAGCAAGCGCATCTGTTATTAAGTAGCTTGCTTTGGTTGGATTCAAAGAAAATTGCTCCGGAATAGCTCCAGGAAACATTCCTTTGAATAAATGAGCAATGTCTTTAGTCGTTTCTACCGACATGTTGCATGCAACTACTTTCATGCACCAGATCAGTTCAGCGCGTAAAGCAGCTTCTTTAGAAGAATATAATTGTAAAGATGGCATCTTATTTGAATTGTCTTCGTCAGAAGTCCCACAAAATGAGAGATGTAACTGCGAGGAGTCCTTCTTCAGTTTAAAATTGTTCTTGTGTTTAACAGTCTCATAATGTTTTTTGATGGCCTTGAATCCTTTCTCAATCGAGATTAAACTGTCACATACTAAACTGTTTTTTTTCTTCCTTTCCCCAATCTTAAATCTTATGTCCATCTTCATCAGTTTTCTCCAACCATCGACTGTCAAATTTACATTTTCCCATTTTTGTTAAACCTTAAAAATAAAAAAAATATTAGTATCTAAACCATAATAGCATTGAAATTTAATATACTTGCAAAAATACAAAAGATGAAGTTGAAAAGTAATGAACAAACTACATTATATCCTCAAAATTTGAAGTATTTTTACAGAACCTTAATTTATGGCCTTAGAAAACAAATAACTATTAGTGTTACCAAAAGTATGCTATTACTATTAAAAATATGGCTTCCTTTACAAATATTTGAGTAGGATAAATTTTGGGAAGGCCAAATAGTTAATACCTTCCATTATTCTTGTCCAAGGGATAATTATGTAAATAAATTTAAATAGTTCTAAGAACATAAACTAACAATGAGAGATAATATTAATGAACATTGTTTTAAATGATAACCATTTTTGTTAAACCTTAAAAATAAAAATAAAATATCAGTATCTAAACCATAATAGCATTGAAATTTAATATACTTGCAAAAATACAAAAGATGAAGTTGAAAAGTAATGAACAAACTACCTTATATCCTCAAAATTTGAACAGAACATTTGAACAGAATTTTTTACAGAACCTTAATTTATGGCCTTAGAAAACAAATAACTATTAGTGTTACCAAAAGTATGCTATTACTATTAAAAATATGGCTACCTTTACAAATATTTGAGTAGGATAAATTTTGGGAAGGCCAAATAGTTAATACCTTCCATTATTCTTGTCCAAGGGATAATTATGTAAATAAATTTAAATAGTTCTAAGAACATAAACTTAAACTAACAATGATAGAAAATATTAATGAACATTGTTTTAAATGATAATTAAAATATGTTTCAGTTAAAGAACCAAATTGATAAAAGACATGCTGGCAACTTAAAAGAGCTAATTTCACCTTAGGCTGCCATCACTCATAAAGGCACGCAATGTAATATACCTGGAGTAGTAGACATAACTTTTTTAAAATAGCTTAAATGCATATAAAGCTATGAAAGAATGACTTAAAAATGAGGAATTTTTGCATATGACATATAAATTTAGTTTTACACTGATTAAATATATTTTACTTGTAAATAAATATCTTCCAAGTGAACCTATAAAGGTGAAACAGCATATATATTTTTACTTTAACTTTAAATGAGTAGCCATGACAACACACTGATATTAGCTTCATCTGTTTTTCACTCTACTATTGCCCAGTCAAATAGTAACAAATCCTCATAATCTTTAACATCATCCTAAACACTCAATCGTAAACATGTTTTATAATTATTTTATTACATTGAAAGTGTATGTTTTTTTAAACTTTCAAAATGCCATCAATTTTTATAAATACAGAGATCTTTCGCGATAACTTACTAATTTTCTTTTTAATCTCCAATTAGGAAAAAGCTTATTTCTTACACGATAAATGCAAAACTATTTTTAAACCTTTGTTTCAAATAATATTTTGATTTAATTTTATCATTGTTAATTTGATTTAATCAAGTCATTATGGAGAAATCTTCAGAGGAAGGCATTGGCCCACATTGGGCTGTCTAGCCAACTATGATGATGATAATTTGAAATATCAAGCACTACTTAATAATTTTGGAATAAAAATTCTTATTTATTAAAATACTTTAATAATAACTTATACTTTTATTACATTTATTATTCTACAATAAAATACATTAATAAAATTAATAGTGGTTCTTTAGTTTTATATCTTCTGTATGAATTAAACAACATTTTTAAACCTTTGTTTCAAATAATATTTTGATTTAATTTCATCATTGTTAATTTGATTTAATCAAGTCATTATGGAGAAATCTTCAGAGGAAGGCATTGGCCCACATAGGGCTGTCCGGCCAACTATGATGATGATAATTTGAAATATCAAGTACTACTTAATAATTTTGGAATAAAAATTATTTTTTTATTAAGATACTTTTTAATAATAACTTATACTTTTATTACATTAATTATTATTCTATAATAAAATACATTAATAAAATTAATAGTGGTTCTTTAATTTTATATCTTCTGTATGAATTAAACAACAATTTTTAAACTTTTGTTTCAAATAATATTTTGATTTAATTCTATCATTGTTAATTTGATTTAATCAAGTCATTATGGAGAAATCTTCAGAGAAAGGCATTGGCCCACATTGGGCTGTCTGGCCAACTATGATGATGATAATTTGAAATATCAAGTACAACTTAATTTTGGAATAAATGAAAATTCTTATTTATTAAAATACTTTTTAGTAACAACTTATACTTTTATTATATACTAATGATTATTATATAATTAAGTACATTAATAAAATTAAGAGTGATTCTTTAGTTTTATATATTCTGTATGAATTAAACAAAAAATTTTCTTTGCATTTTTCTGCTTTCTCCATTTTCTTAAAGATTCATAACAATTATTTACAAATTATATTAAAATTAAGTACCTGATAAAAACCTAAAATAATTACAACACATTTTGCAACAATTAGTTAACTATAAATAAAAACCCTAGTCAAACACTGATGGTAAAATAAACAAAAAAAAATTTATTATAATAAATATCAGTATTGATAATTAGAGGGGGGGGGCAAGAATTTTGATATGTGTAAGTAGTAATTATAACAAATTTTTCTGAAAGAAGATTCAACTAAATACTTTCTTTAAGTGAAGAATTTTGATAAATTATTATTTCAAGTATAAAATTATAAATTATGATTAAAGTGATTATCTAATCAAAAATTCTTTTGAAATTACATATGAAACAGTTAATTATATTACTTGAACAATGACACTTATCTTAAATTAACATGTTAGGCAATAAAAACAAAAGTTCTACTAAAGAAAAAAAAAAGTATATAAAAAAAATATAAATAAAAATGTCAACAAAATTCTAAATAAAATATAAAAAAAACTTATGATTTTTATTATGGAAAATCGTTAATGGAGGTGCATATCCTTCTGAACGTCAGCTAGTTTAATGAAAAAAGAATGAAAATCAGGGAAAAAAATAAAAAGCGACAATTGGCAATTTGCCAAACATGCTATTGTAGAAATTCAGAAGAGAATAAGAAAGAGAAGAAGAAAAAAAAGGGGGGGGGAGCAATAAATCGGGAATCGGAACATGTGCACACAATTATCCCTGCAATATTAGTTACCTGATCATACACTGCTACCATAAAGCACGGGAAAGTGAAAAAGATCGCGATATAAAAAATGGATAAAATTGACAAAGTTTAAAATAATAAAACTAGAATTTATTATATTTTAAATTATAAATTTGATTTCATTTCTTAAAAAGAAAATTTATAAAATAAAAAAAAAAACAAGATCTATTTTCAAAATTATGTCGTCTTTGTTGAATTCACATTTTTTTTTTTTTTACCTTCTTTTAAACATTAAAATTCTAACAGCTTGCATATATACATTTTCTATCCCACTATAGAATTATTTAAAAATTAATGAAACAAAAAGTGAAAAATAACTTACTTTATTTTTAGAATGCCTTCTCTGATACACCATTAACAAAATATTCTTGATTTGATGACTTAAAATATAGTAGAATTCAACAAGCAACAGCAGCTGAAAGTAAAAGAATCTCCATGTGACTGTATTTGCAATGTGCCCATGAGCCAGTTGCAATATATCACATTTGACACTCCCCTGACTTCTTATCTAGTCAGCTTCTTTCAATTTTCTGATTCAATTTTCAATTCAATTTTCACAGGGAGCTAAACTAATTGGATAAACCTACATCTTTTTTTTTTGTTTGACCTTTGTTAAGATTTATGGCTTGTTCCAAGAGAAAGTTTGGAGGGCTGACATTTGATATGATTGGTCCTACATGCCAGCCACCTGTTTTCCAGCCCCCTTTTGTGGGGTGACCAAAGGTTGTCGGCTAAAATCGCAATTTTAAAGTAATTGAGACGCTTTTTAAAAAAAAAAATCTTTTGAATGATTTCAAAATAGTACTAAACGGACCAAATCGTTAAAAAAGCGGACTAAAACGGACTTAGCTCTGAAAAACGGACTTCAGTGGGAAAAACGGACCATTTGTGAGCCCATATGGTATAATTTATTCAAACTTTGAATCTACATTATATATCGTCTAATGTAACAAATTAATACATGAACATAAACAAGAGCAAATCGGTTTTAGACACGTAAAAACAATAAAGCTGTATAATATCTAGGTCTTTCTGAGAGGTACCTATTTTGTGAAAAGTTAAAAATTATATTAAAAAATCAACACAAAAATATGGATTTATCGTTTCTTAAGGGATAAAAAAATAAAATTTTAAGAAAAAGTATTTTGTGAAGCTACCATTTTCCCAAAAGTTGAATTTGTGAAACTACCGTTTTTCCTAAGTTGAATTTGTGAAGGTACCGCTTAACGGTCGTAAATTCGGCCTGGACAAACCCCTGAATATCACCTGGTGATTAAGATTTCACATAAAATCTTATAGTGCATGTAATAGTTTGACCAGGGACTGTATATTTCACAAATTATCAAAATAAGAGAAATTAATAATTGATAAACTTGAAAACTTCCTTTTAATTTAAACTGAAAATTACGAAAAAATAAGCATTTAATGTACAATTTTTAAAGAAAGGATGTAAATCGCCTAAAAAAATTTATTAATATACCTTGGAAAAAAGAAACTTACACAAATTTAACCAATGGAGAATAATCATAATAAAGAAAATATTTGTCATCGTAATCAGATTTAAAACTGTAAACACATATAATTTTAACAGTGAGTAATTATTATTTAAGCAGAGAGTATTTATTTTTAAATGTAAAAAAAGTAGCATTTTTAAGGGCTGACATCTTTATTTTTACAAAAAGTGTGCGCAGAAGAAGCAGAACACCAGTGCTAGAACAGAACACCTGTGTCTAAGTATCATTCATAAAATCAGTACAACTCTGGTTGTCCTACCAGAGAAGAATGGGATAACAACACGATTGATACAAAAAATGATGATCTAATCTAGTATACCGATGGATCAAAGAAAGGTGACCTCTCAGGACTGGGGGTCTGTGGCATAAATATTAAGAAAGGCTACCATGGTAAGCGGATTCTTATTTTCAGCGACAGTCAAGCAGCCTTGATGGCTCTTTACTCATTTCAAGTGAAATCAAAAATTGTTCTGGAATGCAAGAATCTCCTAATAGAACTGGCAAAAGGGAATAAAATCATTCTTAAGGCTGGGACACACCTGTCATGCAGCGTTCCGATCCGACTCATACCCGATTTTCTTTAAAAAGTGTGACCGGTGCGGGATCGGAAAGGAATGAGCACATGTTTCATGTTCACAACCTGCTTCTTTCCGATTTTACGTTAGTTCAACTCGAGATCGCAAACAACCGTGGAACTGTGCAATAATGTTGAAGCATTTTAGCAATCGTGATTTAGCTATTGTGGCTATTTGTTTGGACGAAGAAGATCGAAATAATGAAAAGAGTAGTGGGAAACGTGAATATTGGGTACATGATGCATGGAAAAGAAGACACGAAGAAGGNAAAAATTCTTTTGAAATTACTTATGAAACAGTTAATTATATTACTTGAACAATGACACTTATCTTAAATTAACATGTTAGGCAATAAAAACAAAAGTTCTACTAAAGAAAAATAAGTAAATAAAAAAAATATAAATAAAAATGTCAACTAAATTCTAAATAAAATGAAAAAAAAAAATTTATGATTTTTATTATGGAAAATCGTTAATGGAGGTGCATATCCTTCTGAACATCAGTTAGTTTAATGAAAAAAAGAATAAAAATCAAGGAAAAAAATAAAAAGCGACAATTGGCAATTTGCCAAACATGCTATTGTAGAAATTCAGAAGAGAATAAGAAAGAGAAGAAGAAAAAAAAGGGGGGGGGAGCAATAAATCGGGAATCGGAACATGTGCACACAATTATCCCTGCAATATTAGTTACCTGATCATACACTGCTACCATAAAGCACGGGAAAGTGAAAAAGATCGCGATATAAAAAATGGATAAAATTGACAAAGTTTAAAATAATAAAACTAGAATTTATTATATTTTAATTTATAAATTTGATTTCATTTCTTAAAAAGAAAATTTTAAAAAAAAACAAGATCTATTTTCAAAATTATGTCGTCTTTGTTGAATTCACGTATTTTTTTTATCTTCTTTTAAACATTAAAATTCTAACAGCTTGCATATATACATTTTCTATCCCACTATAGAATTATTTAAAAATTAATGAAACAAAAAGGAAAAAAGTGAAAAATAACTTACTTTATTTTAGAATGTCTTCTCTGATACACCATTAACAAAATATTCTTGATTTGATGACTTTTAAAATATAGTAGAATTCAAGCAACAGCAGCTGAAAGTAAAATAATGTGGCTGTATTTGCAATGTCCCATGAGCCAGTTGCAATATATCACATTTGACACACTTCTTATATCTAGTCAGCTTCTTTCAATTTTCTCAGAAGTCAACCACAGCAGGGAGCTTAACTAATTGGATAAACCTACCTCTTTTTTTTTGTTTAACCTTTGTTAAGATTTATGGCTTGTTCCAAGAGAAAGTTTGGAGGGCTGACATTTGATATGATTGGTCCTACATGCCAGCCACCTGTTTTCCAGCCCCCTTTCGTGGGGTGACCTAAGGTTGTCAGCTAAAATCGCAATTTTAAAGTAATTGAGACGCTTTTTTTAAAAAAAAATCTTTTGAATGATTTCAAAATAGTACTAAACGGACCAAATCGTTAAAAAGCGGACTAAAACGGACTTAGCTCTGAAAAACGGACCATTTGGGAGCCCTGCAGTCTCCGTTTTGTTTTTTTACCATATGTAACGAGCTCGCCCACAGACTCTTAGAAGGGTGGATAATACCTTGCGAAAGCATAAATTCAAATTGCTTGCTATTTTAGCAGCGTTAATATCAGCAGATAATCGTCGCGGTTTAGAAAAAACTGCTTGACCAACGGTCTCGATATGGTGATAAACCAAAACTTCGTTATTTTTTTTATCATGTAACGAGGGGTTAGTGATAGACGGGTATTCTGACATAATTTTTGGATAGGGAGAATTATCTTTTTGATACGAAGCAAATATTTGTGATATTAGATTGCGAGAAAAATGTCCGGATGACTTAAAATTTGTTAGGCGATTGATGAGAATTATTACGAACATCTGCAAGTAAATTAAAATTCGTGAGAAAATCGACGCCTATTATCGGCTGAGTAACGTCTGCAATGATGAAAGGTGGCCAATTAAATTCTCTCCGTAAATTTAAGTTAACTGATAACAATTTAGTACCGTAAGTCGATATCTGAGATCCGTTGGCTGCGAACAAAACTAACTTATCAGGTTTCTTAGAAGACGAAAAATATTTGAGAATTACCGATACATCTGCTCCCGTATCTTTTAGAAATTTTAAATGAGATGAGGAGTCGGCCAGTAAGAGTCTATCAACGTGGCGGTCGCGGTCTTGACCATTCAGCGATCGCCAACTTAGTTTTTCTGTTGATTATGAAATGCACAGGGTGATGCATATTTTTGAGCTCGTGTTCCAAAATCTGTGTGATGAAAACACACAAATCTTTGTATTTATTTTGTCTATTGCGGGATCGGCTTTGACGATCATTTCGCCCGTTACCTCGATTTCTACTTCTATCTCTTCCACGTGAATGAACAAGCGTGGTGAGCTCACTAACCTGTTTACTGAACTGCGCAATTTGTTGCTCTAACTGTCAGCTAGATTCATTTTGAACATTTTTAGTGCAAGAGTTAATTTGATTCACACTCGCAATATCGCTAATTTTATCAACTACAGCAGCTAAACTGTTTAAATCTTCGCTCAAAGCAGCTAGAATACTTTGCTATGTAGAAGGGAGGCGAGAGAGCCTTAACGATTTCAGAAGCGGCTCACCGGCTAAGCTACGCATGTCAGTTAGGAGCTGAGAGGGATGTTAATCTCAGAGTCCTAGGTCCTACAAGAGAGTTCTAATCTTGGACTCTTGGCTTTCTTGAATGGAGCTCAATTAACCTATTTTTTAATGTGCCATACTAGTCGGTCTGAGGGTTCTAGGAAAAAAAGGTACCGGAAAAAAAGGTTCCTGTGTAGGGAAAATTCTGTAGGGGAAAATATTTGAAATGAGAAGATTAGATTGAAGCGCATTTTGATGTTCCGTGCATGTTTTTTTTTTCGTGTCATTTCCCTATGAAAGTACCTTTTTTACCGGGACCTTTTTTTCCAGGGACCCTTTTTTCCGAACCTTTTTTTCCAGGGACCTTTTTTACCGGGACCTTTTGTTCCGTACCTTTTTTTCCGTCTACTGGTCTGAGGGTGTTTAAGAATAATGTCGCTAACTGAATTTAAAACGTCGGTTTCAATAGCTGAAACAACATGATGAAATTTAGTTTCATCTGCGATTATCCCAGCAATATTAAATTGCGTCTCCAGTTGGGCAAACCAAAGAGTAGGATTTGCTTTCCAAAAAGGAGGTTTTATGGCTACACGTGCGATATTTTGCGCGGTAGCAGGAGTTTGATTCTCATTAGGCATTTTGTTAAATTGTAGCGTGCGTAGAATAA